TATATATGAAATCACAGTATGGACTTCATATTTTTATGATATTTATAATCCATAAATGATACCATCTGAGGTGAGTTCAGTCAATATCAATGGTGTTAACATCGTGTTACAAATAAAACAAATTTATTTTACAATTGTTTTATATGTTAAAGATAATAGGCAAGGCCAGAGTGATAGTACAGCAGGTAGGGAGCTTGCCTTGCACACAGCTGACCTTGGTTCAGTCCCCAGTTCCACTTATGCTCCCCCAAGAAATTCAGGAGTGATCCCTGTGTGAAGTGGCAGGAGTAACCCTTGAGTACCTCCAGGTATCTCACAGCCCATGCCCCTCAAAATAGATAGTACAGTTAATTAACTTTTGGATATTTGCAGTTACTCGTTTCTCATTTTATTTTACAAAATGTCTTCTTTTGCCCAACTAATTTTCTACTTAAAGTGCTTCTTAAATCTTTAATCATTTGTGTATTCTGATTTAGGCAGCCCTTAGCCATGTCCATATTACTATTCACCCATGTTTTTCATATTTTATTTTGATTTTGATGTGAGGTGGGGCCTAATTTTACTCATTTCTTCCAAAGACCCAACTCATCTCTATCCTTCACTCTTTTATTTGAAAGAGTACTTTATTACATATTAGAATATTGTAAATGCTTGACTCAGTTTCTGTACTTTTTCCTTCCAAGAATCTCTATTTCTTTAGTTGTGCACCTTTAGATTGTGTTGTATGTATCTTATATATATGCACGTGTGTGTATGTAAGATCACACTGTTCCTTTTATTTTCCAAAGTATTTTTGTCATTCTCAATTTTTATTTTGCATGAATTTCAGAATTATTCGTCAGGTTTTAGTAGTTATGTAGGAATTTGGGTTTTTATTAAATATACACATTAATGGGAGAGCAGATATATTGACATTCCAGTAGCTGTGTTCACCATAGTAAAGGTTAGTTATTTGATAGTCTCACTGACTAGCCTGGAAATTAATTTCCTACAGACTGTCCTAATAGTCTTTATATTCTCAGTGCCTACATTCAAAATCTTGTACGAGTAATGACTGAATATGCATATATTGGAAGGTAAGTAAATAAAGAATGGCTGTTATAGAAAATATGGTTGCCTTTGACTCTGAAATTTTCAAATAGTAGAAAATATTTTCAACTGCAGAGCAGAAAATGAGGATTAATCCAATAAGGGCATATATTATCGTAAAACTAGTATTAAGTATTCCAATAAACTGGTTTTTATTCTTGAGAATTAAATTTTTATTAGAATTTTTATAAAAGTAGTTTGAGGCTGGGAGATGACACAAGTCTGGAACACGTGTTTAGCATGGAGAGAGCTCCATCTTCCATCCCTGGCTTGGTCCCCCACCCCTCCCCAGTGTGGCCTAAAAAATCAAATATAAATTAATAATTAATAATTTTAAGGTTTATCAGGGTATTTAGTTTAATAGAACTAGTTGGGTTAGTTTCAAGTTACTGGTTTCCAAGGAACTTCCCAGTTATTTCTGTTAACCTTTCTATGTAAAATAACCAACTATTCAGATATTTTAAAATATAGCTACAAAAAAAATTGGCAAGTTTTCAGAATGAATCTCCTAAAATATATATTCTTATGTGAAAGTAGAGATGGTACTCCCAAGTGTTACTCCGGACAGCCCAGGGCCTCGCCCAGCAATAAATACTCAGTCCAACTGTGCAGTCGGCCCTCAAGCTGGCAATGCAGTGCTGCTCAGAGTAGTAGTCAGGGCAAGGTGTGGGAGGACCATCAGGGCCACCCTTGGCAGTGCCATCAGGAATGGGAAGAATCATATATCACTAGGGATAGAACTGGGGGCTGACACGGCATGCACTCTAGCCCTTTGAGCTGTCTTCCTAGCCCCAGGTAGGTATTCTTTAAGAAGATGCAGCCGTAATTCTACCTAGATGATAAAGAGTAGTAAAGAACATTGCAGGTTTTTTAGAAGTTCTATTTATGACTGGGAACACAAGATAAATAACACATTAAGGTGCAAGTACAACATAAAATTAAATGCAATATATTTTAGATGCCAGAGTTGAGAACTTATTTATGTAAATGAAAATAGGCATTGTATCATATTAAATGATTGGGGTTTCTTTACATAAGTTAAAATCATATGGCAATTAATCATCACAAATTGACTTTTATGGGCTGGAGCAATAGCACAGCGGGTAGGGTGTTTGCCTTGCACGCAGCCAACATGGCCGACCCGAGTTCGATTCCTCCGCCCCTCTCGGAGAGCCCGGCAAGCTACCGAGAGTATTCGATATGCCAGACACAGTAACAACAAAGTCTCCAATGGAGACGTTACTGGGCCCGCTCGAGCAAATCGAGCAAATGATTGGTTCTTTACATAAGTTAAAATCATATGGCAATTAATCATCACAAATTGACTTTTATGGATTTATTCTTTTATTAGTTAACTTTTTACCTAGTTTTTTTTTCTTATAGCTCCATGATTTACAATGTTACTCATAGTTGGGTTTTAAACATACAGTGTTCCATCACCAATCCTGCCAACAGTGTCAGCTTCCCACCTCTAGGTTCAGTATTCTACTCCACCTCTCACTCCCCATCCTACCATCTTTGCAGACACCTTTTTAAGTTTTGTTATTAAAGTTTGGGTCTCATGATTTCAATGTTATTGACTCTGTGATTTGGATATTTAGCTGTGTAATTTCTTAACACCACTGATGTACTTTGACCCTTGCCCCTGTTGCAGGTTTATTGTTGTTTAATGAGAGAAAGCTACAGTCTTTTTTGTTAGCATGATGTCTTTGCCAATATGTGGTTAACAAAAGGTAACTGAAATTTTTCATCACAGTAAAATTCCTTTAATAAGGGCTTGCTAGGGGCTGGAGCAATAGCACAGCGGGTAGGGTGTTTACCTTGCACACGGACAACCCGGATTCGATTCCCAGCATTCCATATGGTCCCCTGTGCATCGCCAGGTGTGACCAAAAAAAGCAAAAAAAATAATAATAATAATAATAAGGGCTTTCTAATCCAAACACATAAACATTAATAATCGAGCAGGAGTGATATTACAATGGATAGCGTGTTTGCCTTCCACTTGGCCGGCCCTGGTTTGATCCCCACCCCATCCCCACCATCCCTACCCCTGCATATAGTCCCCCAAGCCCTGCCAGGAGTAGTCCCTGAGCACAGAGCCAGGAGAAAGCCCTGAGTACAGCTGAGTGTGGCCTAAAAACAAAACATTAATATCTTTATATATGTTACTTTAAAAGTGTTTAAAGTATTGTAATTTTAGTTTTTCTTTTATGGGAAGTGTTTACAGATGATTTATGAAGTCCTTAGGTATTATGTTCATTTAAATTTCTTCATCTCTTAAAATTAAGCAAATTTAAAATTTAGAAGTAATCTAATGAATGTAGATATGTAAAAGAAATATTCATAAAGTACTAAATTGATAAAACGTTGTTAGCACAGTTATAAATCAGATCAATCAAGTAGAGTTTAGTAATTAAAAAATAAAATCCTGTTTCAGTGCTGAATGCTTAAGACTTATTTTGGAGTATGTATTTGAATCACCATTTTTTGTATTATTCACTGTGATGAAAGGACCACAAAAGGATTGCATGAGTCCTACACTTAGTTGGAGTGAACATGGATATTGAGTGTTATCTAGCATATTTTGTTATGTATATAATTATTGAGTTAGATGTTAAAATATTGTTATTTCTAGTATTTTAGGATCTCGTGTTCTTTACAACAGTTTCAGTGGTATTTTTTTAAATTGGATCACCATGAGATAAAAGTGTTACAGACCCTTTGTAGTATTTTCTTAATTGAATCACCATGAGATAGAGCATTACAGAATTGTTCTTGATTGCATTTCAGTCATACAGTGTTTCAGCACCCATCCCTCCACTAGTGTAATTTTCCAGCATCAGTGTTGCCCGTTTCCCTCCCACTCCTTCAAGCCACCCCCCACTTAGCCTGCCTCTATGACAGGCACCTCTCATCTCTCTCTCTCTCTCTCTCCCTCTCTCTCTCTCTCTCTCTCTCACTTTCTCTCTCTCTCTCTCTTTTGGGCTTTATAATTTGTGATACAGACGCTGAAAGATTATCATGTATATCCCTTTTACCTGCTTTCAATACTCAGTTCTTGTCCAGAGTGATCATTTCCAACTGGTATTGTCATAATGGACCCTCCTCAACGTAACTACCATCCATCCCCCACACTATTGACCAACTGTTAACCATTCCTCCTGACCCGTTTTCCCTGCCATTGAATATTAATGTCATACTGTTGTGTTTTTTATATCCCACAAATAAATGCAGTCAGACTCTTTGTTTTACTCAATCTGAAAATTAGGGCAGAAAGTAAGGAACATCATATTTGTTTTTAAGATATATGATGGGATTAAATAAATAAATAAAAATAAATAAAATGAAAAATAAATAAATAAATGTTTTAAAAAATGGTTTTGTACCTTAAAAAAAAAGGATGTGTGATGGGTACGTAAGAGTTAGTATTGTCATTATGCTTTTTATAATTTGCATATGTTAGAGATTACATTAGTATAAAGTATTTACAGAAATATTTTATAATCTTTTTAAGGTAGATACAAGCCAAGGAGCAAAGAACACCAAATATAATTTAATTATTTTTATTGTATTATCTATGATATTCTTTAGTGTAAATTGTTGAACTTTCCACACAAATATCTTTCACTAAAAAAATATTATAATCTCAACGTTTTTATCATAGAAAAATTAATAACTGATTAGTACTCTTAGAAAACTGAAGAATTTTTTAAGTAACTATAATCTTGGGATAATGATGATTACTGTGTAAATTATTTCTAATAAATTTGAGTCATGGTTATCTGTTCTGAGTACACATGTCTAAGTATTACCAGTTTCTTCAAAAGATATATAAAACATTAGTTGTGGCTATACTCTTGAGTGTGATTTTCATAGCATAAAGTGTTAGTACATTTTTCTTTTGGAAGAGTCAGAATGGATAATCAATACACCGCTGTGGCCTTGTGATAGACTGGATGTACTCAATCGTCATAATCTGCTCTGTACAATTGCACATGAAACCTTAGCCAAGAGCCTTTACAGACAGACATTTGAAGTTTTGCAAAATCTACCAGGTTTTCAAAATTCTCAAGGTATGTTTTTTAAAATGTAGCTTAATTATCTTTCACCCATCTGCAGTTTAACTATTAATAAGAAACTGTTCACCTGTTTTGATAGAGTTTTATTTCTAGTATATATTTTTAATTGTTGTTTTCTATAAAATGTGTTCCCTAAAAATTGTATGTTTTCTTGATTGTTTGGAAAAAAAATCAGATCTTTGAGTTATCAGCACTTTCTAACAGGAACATTTTCAAGATTTTCCTTTCTCTGTCTTTATCACTTCAACAAGCAATATGCAGTATGTGTATGCTAGCTGTGTATCTTAAAAGAATGCATTCCATTGAAATACTGAGGCATATTTTTTTATTTTGTCACTTAACAAATATAGAAATTAGTTTCCATTACCTTGTAACATAGATAAGCATGGAATAAATGGAGCAAATTAAGCAGATAAAAAGTTTAAAGAAAGAGCACTGATGTGGCAATAATACGTAGTCAGTGCTTTAGGATATTAAAACTCAGTATGACAGAAAGGAGAGAATCCATTTTATGGGAAGATAGTCAAAACTTTGAGCAAGATTGGGTTTAATGCTGGGTTCAAATGATGGGTTAACACTTTATCCTGGTCTTCCCTCGGTGATTGAAAGTTAGTACATTGTACCCCATTTTCCTTGTATGTGGCCAGCCCAGGTTTAGTCTCCCACACCCCATTTGATCCCCCAAACCCTACCCTGAGAACAGAGCCAGGAGTAATCTAGCACCCAGAGGGTGTGGCACCAAAACAGACAGATAGCAACAACAAAAAATTATGCCTTCCCTAATTACTTTATCAGTCAGAGTTGGTAACTTAGGGAAGTTCCTTGTTGGTAATGCTTAGGAAAAGATAAAGTTAGCAGATGGATTTTCTGGTAAAGCCTTGACCACTGAAAAATACTCATGTGATAAAGGCCTAGAATTGATGTCCGAGACTGAAGTGACTCTATAATTAAAGAAGTAGAAGAGTTGAATGTTTCCAAAGTAACATTACTTTTTTCTAAGTAGAAAAAATTAAAGAACTGAAATACCTAATAAAGGAATTTTTATTTGAGAGTGATTGAGATGATTGTTTATTTTTAGTCCTGGGAAAAGGACTATGGCTATAATGCAAACAGATTCCTCCTGTCATTCTTTTGAGGTATTGCAGATGCTCTCACCATAGGGATCATAGAGGTGTTTTTTGTAGCCTCTGAAATCCTTCTCAGGTGTCCTTTCATAGTCACTACAAAGTAAATAAAGGGCTTTGCTTTTGTTGAATGGGTTATTTTGTTAGCTACTTAGATAATTTTGCCTGTAACTCCTGTGGTGGACAGAAATATACTAAAAGACACAGAGGGAAAAAGGAAAATGGTAAGAGAGAAGTTTAAAAAAACTAAGAGAGATCAATTTCATTGTCTCAAACTTTTTTTTTTCCAGAAACAGTGGTGGTCTCCCAGTATAGCCTTCTTTTTAATAAACTTCTAGATGCCTGTATAGAAAGCAACAGTCTTGGTATGTCGTCCTCTGTAGCAGAATTCATGATTTCAAAGAACATACCTATTGATTTTTCCTTTCTTAGAAGATTAATTACTTCTTTAGGAAGGAGTAGCTTATGGCTCAAAGCCAGAGCCCACTACAAAAGTAAGTTATATTTAAATTTCTTTAATTATAATGATTTGATCTTCATTTTCTAACCCTGAACATTATATTTACAACTATGCATTTAAATGTTTTTTAGAACAGTTGATGCACATTTAAAGATAGTGATACAGACATATTTGTGCTCTTCTGAAACCTGTTTTCTTATTTCTTATATCTCTGATGATTGCTTTTATCTTTGGAGGGGGGGGCGGGAAGAAACATATGTACATCCACTGGAGGGCACAGAGCTTAAACATATAAGTATTTCTTTACATAGAAAGAAGATTGGGTGGAATGAAGTTTAGTAAGGAATATTTACACACAGTGGGGCTGGGTTCCCCAGCAGTGTTTTAGGGTCTCGGGACCACATCCAGTGATGCTTGGCTGAGTTTTGAAAATCTGGCAGGTTCTCAGTTGGTGGATGTGTTGCTGCTCAACCTTGCAGTGCTGGAACCACCAGGACTACACCCAGCAGTGCTGGTGGGGGCCACCCTAGAATGCTTGGGATTAAACTCAAGGTTTAATCTCTTAAAGTGTCTCCTTGATCCTGAAATATTTTATTTATCCGTATCCCTAATTTTTTATGACAGGATATTTTTTAGATATTTTTTTAACTTAATCATCATGAAATTACAAGTCATTCATGATTGGGTTTCAGGCATACAACATTTCTACTCTGATCCCTTTACCATTGTCCACTTCCCTTCTCTAATCCTCCCCACCCCCGTTTACTTTCCACCCACCCACCAGTCTGGTTATACGAGAGACACTTTTTATTTTAAATAATTTTTTGCACTGTGGTGTACAATCCTGTTGCGGATAGGGTTTCATACATTACACTTTACCGCCTTTCAGCACCCCTCTTCCTCCTGGTTGAACACTTTCCTCCACCACAGATGTTGCCCCCTTCCTGTCCTATTCCCCAACCCCTGCAAGTGGCATGTTTTCTGCTGATTACAAGTTCTCATGTTCTTGGTTCTACTGTCTTTGGGCATTCATTTTTCCTTCATGTTTCCTTATACTCTGCACATGAGAGCATTCTGTGTCAGTCTCTCTCCCTCTGACTAACTTCACTCAGCACGATACTTGCCACATCCCTCCATGTAGCAGCAAACTGCATGACTTTATCTTTTCTGATGGCCGAGTAATATTCCACTGTGTTTATGTACCCTAGTTTCTTTATCTAGTCATCTTTTCTTAGAAAAGGCAGTTGTTTCCAGATGCAGCCTGCATAGGAAGTACAGAGGCTGTTATTAGATTTCCGTATGATACATAATAATTTTCACATAATTTCTAGTAATAGAATTTTCTTAAACTATTTGCTATTTCTGTCTAATTAGTGAGTTCAGGAAAATTAATGTTTTCTTTAGTTCAAGCCATGTTACAGCTATTTTAATTAGAAAGTTATTCTTTGTAGATGTTGAAAACAGTTCATGTCTCCATTTGTTCAGTATTTTTTTTTTCAGTCTCTATTTCTGTTATGTATACAGGAAACATTTGTGGGCTAGAAAAGTAGTTCTGGGCTGAGCACAAGCTTTGCTTATAAAATACACAGATTTGCTCCCTGCTACATCATAGTCCTCTGACCACCACCATGAGTTACCCACAACACAGAGTCAGAGCAGCCCTCAAGCAGCACCTCAAAAACCACAAAAGATGCCCGGTGAAATAGTAAGAACTTAAGGTGCTTGCCTTTCATGCAGCCACCCCCATTTTGGTCCCTGGCAATGCATATGGGCCCCCAAGCACCTCCAGAAGTGATTCCTGAGCACTGCTCGATCCCACCCCCCTCAAAAAAATAATGATGATAGTAAACAGGAAAGAAAAAAAAACACATTTGAGAGTGCTTATTTGGTATCACCAGTGTGATATTCACACATTCCCTCCACCTCTGCCAGCAAAAGAAACTCTGAACTTGGAAATGTTTTCCTCACTGCCAGCTGTGGTCAGCTGAACAGATGGTAACTATTTTTCCCCAATTTGTATTCATTACAGGTATGAAGTTAAGTATTGTTTTATAGCATTTTGCTTCAGTAAAATACATGTATTTATACTTAGTGATTATATAAATGTATTTCTTATTGTCTAGCACTAGCACTGTCCTCCCATTGGTCATCGATTTGCTCGAGCGGGCACCAGTAACATCTCACAACAAATTGTGAGACTTGTGGTTACTGTTTTTTGGCATATCAAATACGCCACAAGGAGCTTGCCAGGCTCTGCCATGCGGGCAAGATACTCTCGGTAGCTTGCCGGGCTCTCCGAGAGGGGCGGAGGTCTCCACGGCAGATCCCAAGCTGCAGGGACCCAGGAGCACCTCCGCCCCAGAGCGGCCGCTTCCAAGCCGGTCCCGGGTCTTGAACATTCACAGTTAACTGCATGAAAAAAGAAATGACAAAAGAGACAACAGCTGAAAGTCAAACACCACTAATTTTCACCTAACCTTGGGGATTCTGACTTGGCCAAATTCTGTGTGCAACTCCAGTTCTATCTTCAGCCCAAGAGTGTCTTCTCTTTGCAGAGTTTTGCAGGGAAACAACACCACTCCACAAAAATAAAAATTCTAAAGCAAAATTAAATTTTCATGGATGATTAAATGCACATAAAAATAGAATTATTTTTTCATAATAATTTATTTAAATTTTGTGATTATGTTTCAGCACCTTACATCTTTACAGAAATATTGCTTCCATAGCAAGAAATTATAAATACAGGGGCCAGGAGCTAGTGCAGAGGTTAGGAGATAGACCTACGTTCAGTTTCCAGCACCACATTCTACTCCATGTACCTAGCTCTGGCCTGGGAGCCCCCCGAGGCCCCCAGTACAACCATGATAGTCCATATATCCCCAGCACTGCAGAGCCTGACAGCATTGAATCCTCAGGCCCTTAAAATGAACTGCTGGCTGAGGATTAACGGTGGCTGCTGGGTCTTCCAAGCACACCTTGGGCACATTTCACTGCCTAATACCTCCCCAGAAAAAAAAAAAATCACACAGAATACTATTTTGTATCATTTTATTTTAGTTTTTTAAATAAGGGCTGGAGCGATAGCACAGCAGGTAGGGCGTTTGCCTTGCAGGCAGCCAACTTGGCCAACCCGAGTTCGATTCCTCCGCCCCTCTCAGAGAGCCTGGCAAGCTACCGAGAGTATCTCGCCCGCGTGGCAGAGCCTGGCAAGCTACCTGTGACGTATTCAATATGCCAAACACAGTAACAGGTGTCACAATGGAGACGTTACTGGGCCCACTAGAGCAAATCGATGAACAACGGGAGGACAGTGACTCCCTTTTAAATAAATGTTTTGCCTTGCACGCAGTCAACATGGCCAACCCGAGTTCAATTCCCCCGCCCCTCTCGGAGAGCCCAGCAAGCTACCGAGAGAATCTCGCCCGCACAGCAGAGCCTGGCAAGCTCCCTGTGATGTATTCGATATGCCAGACACAGTAACAACAAAGTCTCCAATGGAGACGTTACTGGGCCCGCTCGAGCAAATCGATGAACAACGGAGGACAGTGATACAGTGAAATAAATGGGTATTCATTTTTCAGAATTCTCCAGATTGGGTAAATTGCTATAAGAAAATTATTTGGTTTAGTTTTCATTTTTCTACTTTAAATTTTTTCATTTTATATGGCTATTTTTTTTTATTTTGCTACTTTTTACTTCATTTCGATTGATTTAATTAGGGCTGGAGCGATAGCACAGCGGTAGGGCGTTTGCCTTGCACGCAGCCAACATGGCCGACCAGAGTTGGATACCTCCACCCCTCTCGGAGAGCCCGGCAAGCTACCGAGAGTATCTCACCCGCACAGCAGAGCCTGGCAAGCTCCCTGTGACGTATTCGATACGCCAAACACAGTAACAACAAAGTCTCCAATGGAGACGTTACTGGGCCCGCTCGAGGAAATCGATGAACAACGGGAGGGCCTTTACCTTACCTTACCTTATTTTTAATAGGTTTTTGTTTAGTTTTTGTGGGGGCCACATCTGTAAAATAATAAAAATCAAGTCATGCTTCAGCCTAATCATAATATATTTTTAAAAATTTTTTGGCATTGAATTTAATGCCAAAATAAGCAATTAATGCCTAGCTATAATATAGTATCTTTCTTATTGACACTTTTTCTCTTTTAAATATTTTTCTGTATAATATATTTTTCTGTATAATAATTTTATATGCAGTAAATCTTCTGGGACTTAGGGAACTAAGATTTTAGGATTAAGAGTGTTTTGTTGTCCTTTGAGAATACCTGAATTACAAAACAAAATGAGTAATTTATAGTCACTAATTATTCTTCAGAACATCTGATTTTCTGACAGTGTTGACATTTAAAATATATTGCAGCTCTATTTCTCTTCACATAGTTTAGCAGTGACTAGAAGCCTTCCAAAGTCTTATAATCACAGCTAACAGGACTTGATTTTTGATTATTTTACAGATTTTGAAAATTACACTTACCACAAAATTCACCCACTTGACATATACCGCGCATTTTTATTATATTCATAGAGTCACACAGCCATACCACAACCCAATTTTAGAAAAATCTTCAACGCCTCCAAAAAAAGAAACCTTAGACACATCAAGCATTCCTCTTCCATATTCTAGATATCTCACCCAGTCCAGCCCCATCTGTTTCTATGAATTTGCCTGTCTGGGCAATGGACTCATTCAATGTATAGTTTCTTTCGAAGTGTCTTCTTACACTTAGCATATTTTTTTACATTCACTTTTTTAATTAAAGAACTGTGATTTACAAAGTTATTGATTGTTGAGTTTTAGGCATATAATATTTCAACACCAATCCCACCACCAGTGTCAATTTCCCTCCACCACAACCCCAACCCATCCCTGCCTGTCCGCTTTATAGGCACATTACAAAGTTTCTGTGGTTGCAGCTTAGATCTCATATTTTCAGTTTTGTTGAGTCTGTGTTTTGGATATGTGGCTAGACCACGCACTCATATCACTGGTATAATTGAAACCCTGACACTTATTCATACCCCTTACTTCCCATTCTTTTCTTCCCCCTTGATTTCTTTTCTTCTCTTTCCTTATCCTTTCTAAACACTGGAGTCAAGGGTGATCTGGGCTTCTCCCGTTTAGTACAATTCTGTATACCACAGATAAGTAAGATCATCCTATGTTTGCCTTTTGTTCTTCTGGCTTACTTCACTCAACATCCACATTCCAGCAAATTGCATGATTTCCTTGTTCCTTTCAACTGCCTTGTATTCCATTGTGTATACATACCACATCTTTATAATCCATTCATCTGTTGCATTTAGCATAGCATGTTTTTAAGATTCTAGTATACATTAGTACTATATTCCTTTTTATTGCTGAATAATAATCCATTGTGTGAAATTTATCCATTAATTGATGGACTTCTGAGTAGCTATATTTTGGCTATTAGAAATAACACTGCTACAAACATGCATATGCAAGTTTCTTTGTAGATACATTTTTCTCTTGAGAGCAAAATTGCTGGCTTATAGGGTAAATCTATTTAGCATTTTGAGGAATTGCCAGACCATTTTCCAAAGAGGCTTTACCAGCTATGGAGATAGCTCACAGGGGTTAGAGTACATGTTTTGCATGCAGGACCCCAATATTCAACCCCCAGTATCGAATTCACCAAGGCATCGACAGGTGTATCCCTTTTCTCCCCTAAAAAGAGAGAATCGTCTTTTAATTTCTTGTTTTGTTCATTTGTTTTGGATTTTGGTTTTGGTTTTGGGACCATACCTGTTGATATACAGGACTAACTCCTGATTCTGCTCTCAAAGATCATTCTTGGCAGGACTCAGGGGACCTTATGGAGTGTCAGGAATTAAACCCTGTTTGGTCGCATGCAAGGCAAGTGCCCTACCCGCTATACTATCTCTGAAGCCCCATCTTTCACTTGTCCATTTATTTTTTCTCTACACTAAAAATAAAATTTTACTGTTGAGTCATAAGAGTGTGTGTATATGTAAATACCCACACATAGTCGCTTTTCATTATCATTGTCATTCATATGTCATTTCATGAAGTTCCCATCAGTACTGAATGATAGTGAACCCCTTATGCTGTACCCAGTAGCCTGGATGTGGATAAGCTAAGTTTACAGGTTTCTGTAATTACACTCTATGATAGTTGCATGACAAAAATCACCTAATAATGCTTTTCTTAGAACATAGCCCCATCATCAAGTGACTTATGACTGTGATACATACAGTCTGATATATACATGATACATATACCCTGAACACACATCCCAGGTCAGATATATGGATTTCAACTTTTTTTATTCTATGTTGTCTTTCACTTTTATTTTTCTAGACTCAGCTTTTGTTTCCAGACTAATTAGAAGAAAATTGTCTAAGGACAATAAAGTTGTCTTACTAGAAGTTCCTGATTTTTTCTCTCTAGACCTAAATAACCACTTTATTCTCAGAGCTAATGTTCAATCAGGAATGGAAGAGTGGTGGTGTTCTATTACCTTCCTCCCGCCCTCTAGAGTAAAAGTAATGTTAGTAAATGTTGATTCAAGATATGCCAGACACAGTAACAACAAAGTCTCCAGTGGAGACGTTACTGGGCCCGCTCGAGCAAATCGACGATCAACGGGAGGGCCTTTACCTTTACCTTTACCATACTTTTACCAGAAAAGTAAAATAGAAATATATGTAAATTATGTATGTAAGAGTTCATGAGTAGTTTGTGGGTCTTGACTATCACTTAGGGTTGCCATTTGGGAATTTATTATCTGTTAAAAAAGAAAAAAAAAAGGCTGTTCACCAGAGCTCCTCCTCTGTAATCTGGGCATTGTACGTCATTTTAAAGGTAGTGATTTATCAGGTTAAATACATACAAAGCCTGGTTTTTTAGCACAGGTTTCTAGCACATAGTTGACCTCAAAGATTAGTTATCGTCATGCACATTAAAAAGGTTACTTGAGCTGGAGAGATAGCTCATTGATCTGGAGCATGTGCTTTGCATGCAGGATGCACAGCTTTAGTCCTCAGCCCTGTAGAGTCCCTCAGCCCTGCTCAGAACAACCCCTAGCACCCACCCCTGCAACTCCAGGTGCAGCCCCCAAACAAAAGCAAACCAATATATTTCTTGAATAAATATCAATAAACATTTTGAATGATTTTCACATCAGATCGATTGGTTTCAGAGATTAAAAGAATGTAATACTGCCTTTATGCAATTTGGATATCCTCGCCCTTGAGCTGTCCCTATATTTATTTCACTTATATTAAGTACTCAACAGCTTAAAAGTTAAATTTCTTTTCTTGAAAAGGAATTTCTAGCATATGAGATGGGAAATATAGCTGTAACACATTGAGCACCTACAGAACTGAAATGTATTCTTTTGTTTTTTATATTAGTACTTAGCTCAGTGCCAAACATAAGGAACGGTATTTATTACAGAAATGGAGCATAACAACACTTTTTAAGTACTGCACTTAAAAATCATACAACTGTGATAGTTAAATCTTTAAATTTATTTTCTTCCAACATTTGCATTCATAATTCAAAATAGACAAATATATGCCATCACATCCCCTTAAAGCTAAACCCAAGTAACTGTTTTGGTTTTTAGTTATTCTGAAATTATATTGTGTTCATACACAAATAACTGAAAACTGAGTAGTAATTGCCATGGTGAAGCCTAAGTCATTTTTTCTCTGTTTTTATCTGTATTGCTCACTTTATAGTTAATATTTCAAAAGTATCTTATATAGGATAATTTCATATATGATTATAACTTATATACTAAATGTATATTGTATGTTTATAAATGTACTCATAATTTGTATACCACAAATTTATATACTAAATCTTCTTCTGATTTTTCTGTACTGTAATTATTGTAAGCATTTTGGAAGTCTAAGTGTTTACCGATTGAAATTTCAGTTAAGTATAACCTGTTATTTGATTTTCAGATGCTCTTTCATTGGGTTGCTATCCACCTTTGGAGGGAAATTTTTACCGAAAACTTCTTATGATTCCATCTTATTTATCTGAGATTGAAATGCTTTTGGCCATTGAAATTTTCCTGGTATCTAATGCTAGTAGTATTCAGAGTCCTGGACCTTCTGCACAGACACTGCAGATAGTTTTGAAAAGGTTAGTGATGTTCCTTCTAATTAGAGTATACTGAAAGCAGTATAGCTCCCCACATCTGCCCAAGGTGGTGATGTTTGGAGACATACATATACACAAATACACACACACACATACACACACCTGTGTGTGTATATGTAAAAATATATATTTATATAACATATGTAAAAATATATTTGCGACCTAGGTGATATTCAAATCAGGAAATAATTTAACCTCTTTGAGACTTAAAAACAAACAAGTCAAAACTCAGTGAACTTTAACAGGTTCAAAGAGATGAGTTCTCTTTGGGTATCTTTCTCTTGTATAGTTAGATATAAGGTTAAATTAGATATATGTATAGGACTAGGTTATATATGAGAACCTAAAAATTATTTTATTATGATTAGCACAAAAGATTTTTCAAATCTAAAAGGGAAGTAAGGGAAAGCTGTTAGGTCCAGTCAGCCCTATTGAAAATAAAGCCATGCATACATATTATAAGGTAGCTATTGGACACGAATAGCCATCCCCTGAATAATTTTGTTCAAAGTCCTAGAATTCAGGATTCTGTCACTCAATTTTGTCCAAGAAGCTTACGATGTAAGGATCTTTTGCGATTCTGGTTTTAGAGCTTCTTGACAAAAATAAAATTGTTTTGGTTTATGATTTATAAACCAAATCCTCAGAATTAAGTATTATACCAGTTATTTTTTTACTATGTAAAATTACCTCAAATTTTAATTAAAGCAGCAAATAGTATCCTATTTTCTGTGAGTCAGGAATTTGAGCATCTTAGCAGGATTATTCTGGCTAAGGGTCTCCTGTAGCTTGAGTCAGAATGTAGTTAGGAGCTGCAGTCACTAGCTCATAGGAAAACAGCCATGAGGTATGAACGTCATTAAAGTTGGAGACCTCAGGAAACGTTACAAGATGAGTAAATTTACAAATACAAAGGAGATGCTCTACCATAGCTACATCCCGGCTAACGTAAATTCTGGCATTTAGTAAAGTACCTTGTACCAGAACTAAAAACAGTAACCAGAAGTTAAATGAAGGCATTTAGCTTGTAATTTGTTACCACATGTCAGCTACATATTAAATATATGCTTATAATTTAATATAGTTAATAATAGGGTTGGCAGAGAAAGAGTAAAACGGGCAAGGAACTTACCTTGTACAACACGGACCCAGGCTTGATTTCTGGCACCTGATCCCCAGGAGTGATCCCTGAACAGAGAGCCAGGAATAAGCCCTGAGCACCATTTGGTGTGCACCCCCAAATATATATATGAATATATATACATACATATATATACACACACATATATACATAAGTATTAAGGTGAACTATGAGTTTCAAAATCTTAACTTCATTAAATATGCATTTTAATGATAATTATGGAGTTATCAACTTTGTACAAACATAGAAGTTACTAGATTTGTTTTCAAACTGCCAGTTAAAGCCAATTTTGTGAAATCAATTTAGGAAATAGTAAATTTGTTAAAAAATGGAAACAGAAGTAGAGTGCATTATAGGGATGTCGTTTTGTTGAGCTTTAAAGTAAATACAAAGGTAAATTCTGTGTTTTGTGTGTGATGGTAAAAATATTTTTGAAGGTTACTGTTAATATAATAAAGACCATCCAGGCTTAGTGCCAGTACATGTAAATAAATCTTTGGAAGAATCTACAGCTACTTTTAGAGTTTCTGAATTTATGAGGTGTTCACTTTTAGATGTGAAGAAAACAAAACTCGAAGCAAGGATGATTATCAAGCTGCAGTGGAAAGATTAATTATGGCTGCTCGTATATCGGATCCAAAGCTTTTCATTAAGCATATGACTGTCAATATTAATAAGGAACAGGTTTATAGTTTGGAACATGGTTCTGCCTTGAAATGGTTGAAAGGGAATATGAAGTGGGCTGGAAAGTTTTGGCTTTTCAGTAACCATTAGTTAATAAAGGCTTTTTTTTTTTAAGTTCAAGTAATCATTGTAGAAAATAAACAGCAATAAAAATTCGGTTTTCACTATATTTAGCTTTTGCTCTTTATTCATTCACGGTTACTACTTTTCAAACACAAAAATTTTTATATGTAAGGGTTTAATACACACTAATTTTTCTAATTGCTTTTTGGTCTGGGCTGGAGCAATAGCATGGCGGGTAGGGCATTTGCCTTGCACACAGCTGACCTGGGTTCAATTCCTCCACCCCTCTTGGAGAGCCCGCCAAGCTACTGAGAGTATCCCGCCTGCACAGCAGAGCCTGGCAGGCTCCCTGTGGTGTATTCAATATGCCAAAAACAGTAACAAGTCTCATAATGGAGATGTTACTAGTGCCCGCTCAAGCAAATAGATGAACAACGGGAGGACATTGCTACAGTGCAGTGCAACATTTTGGTCTATCTTAATTCTCATAAAAAGTATTTATTATGAAATGGGAACAGTGAATAAAAGGAATTATGTGCAGTGTTTAATGAGAGAAACTCAAAAGAGGAAAAGATCCAAGTAGTTAACTGGAGCATTCAGAAAAATCTACAAAAATGGGACCCAAGGATATATATGCTTGAAGGAGAAAAACCCATGCTGCTTCCTCTGGCCCAGCCTCACAGCTCCATGACTGTTCTTGAAGATACACTTACTTGCTGAATCCTCCCCGTCTCATCGCTCCTTTAGCACACAGCCACATAGGCAGCCATGCGACACCTAATTTCACAATACTGACAGCCCAGCAGGAGCACACAAATTAGATGGGGAAACTCACACAGAGGCTCAAAGAGTGAAAACAATAATACAAAAGGCTCAGCTAGCACCTAACAATTCAGTAAATCCTCAGTGACTTTATTAACACTATTGTGAGATGCATGTTGTAACAAGCAATATAAAGTCAATTATTTTGTGCCAACTAAGGGGGCAGGGTGGAGGGGGAGCTGGGGACATTGGTAGAGGGAAGGTCATAGTTGTGGTGGGATTGATGTTGGAATATTGAAATGCCTGAAACAACTGTTTGAACAGTTTTGTAAATCAGTGTTTAAAGGTTCAAACGTGTGTGTGGGGGGGGGGGGACCTATTTCAACCAAATACATCAGATGTAAATATTCAAACAAGGAATTGTTTCTTTTATACTAGGTTTGCTGAAGTAGTCTTCACTGTAGGAGGAGGAGAGTTGGGCCACACACCTGATGGTATTCAGGACTTACTATTGATTCTGTGCTCAGGGAACCATATGCCCCGGTGTTGGGGATCATACAAAAGTCAGCAGCAAGCCAGGCACCAAGCATCTTATCCCCTGTACTATCTCTCTAGCCCTGCTGAAGTAACATTAAAAATCTGTAGCCACGGGGCTGGAGCAGTAGCACAGTGGGTAGGGCATTTGTCTTGTACACGGCCGACCCGGGTTCGATTCCCAGCATCCAATATGGTCCCCTGAGCACCGCCAGGGGTAATTCCTGAATGCAGAACCAGGAGTAACCCCTGTACATCGCCGGGTATGACCCAAAAAGAAAAAAAAATCTGTAGCTGGGGCCAGAGAGATGGTAAAGCAGGTAGGGGGTTTGCCTTGTACGTAGCCAGTCTGAGTTCAATCCCAGAATCCCATATGGTCCCCTGAGCACTTTGAGGAGTGACCCATAAACTCAGCAGCAGGAATAATCCCTGAGCACCACCGTGTAGGACCACCCCCCCCCCCAATAAAATTGAAAGGTTCTTTCCTTGTGTGCTGTCACCCTGATTCAACCCGGCCAGAGCACCACCAGGAGGGACTCCTGAGCACTGCTGGGTACAGCCAACCTCCCACTCTGCTCAAATTTGAGTAAGGTAATAAATCCTGACTAATAACTAGAGTGTTTTCTCAAAGGAATTCCAAAATATTGTAATGAGGGGCTGGAGCGATAGCACAGCGTGTAGGGCGTTTGCCTTGCATGCAGCCAACATGGCCGACCCGAGTTCGATTCCTCCAGCCCTCTCGGAGAGCCCAGCAAGCTACCCAGAGTATCTCACCCACCCAGCAAAGCCTGGCAAGCTACCCGTGAAGTATTCGATATGCCAAACACAGTAATAAGTCTCACAATGGAGATGTTATTGGACCCGCTAGAATAAATAATGGGAAGACCATGACCATGGGCTGGAGAGACAGTGCATCACATAGTGCGAACTTCCCTTGCACATAGTCAAACCAAATAGTCCTGGGCACAGAACCAGGAACAAGCTCTGCACACAGCTGTGTATGCCCCCCCCAAAAAACAACAAAAATATAATGATAGTATTATTGTAATAAATTTATGACTACAAAATTCTAGTGCTTCTGTAGTACATCAGTATACTCAAATTATACTGAAATATATTTTACTTATGTAATAACATTCTATTTTAGTTGTGATTTATTATATAATTGTGTCTACAATTGTTACTCAGAATTATTTAAGACTTACTATGGTGGGGGCTGGAGCGATAGTACAGCGGGTAGGGCGTTTGTCTTGCCCATGACCGACCCAGCTTTGATTCCCAGCATCCCATATGGTCCCCCGGAGCACCGCCAGGAGTAATCCTGAGTGCATGAGCCAGGAGTAACCCCAGTGGCCAGGAGTAACCCCAGTGCAATGCCAGGTGTGACTTAAAAAGAAAAAAAAAAGACTTACTATGATGAAATGGGGATAAGTGCTGTGAAATACGGGAAGTAGAGGGAGACTTCAAAAGTAGACTCCCAGAGGCCTGGAAGCTGGCTGAGCAAGTAAAAGTCCTGCCTTACAAGGGTGACCTGCCAACACGCTCCCACTCTGTCACCTGCTGCGTTGCTGTCTGGGACCCCAACTCAGCAGCAGCTCACTGCCAGTTGCGTGCATTCTCAGCAGGTGTGCGACACCTGGCTAGTCTGAGCACCACAACGGAAGGAATGAGTCCCCTGGAGAAGTGTGTGACCCCAGACATGGGGAGAGGTGGAATAACATCAGTAGGAGGCTACAGTTCTCTCGTTTGAACAAAATGGGTGGCAAGAATGTCATTCATTACCAAACTTTTAAATTCGATCTGGAGGTGACCATCAGTTTAAGCTGACCTGAGAACATTATAAATGTCTTTTCTATAGAGAGTAACAAACGCAAAGAAATTAGAAATATGGGACTGGTTTGAGATGCTGGTGACAAGGATGCATCGAAGAAGGTGCAACGGAGAATATGGAAACAGCCAGAGGACTGTCGCGGCGATCAAAGTCCAAAGAGAAATGCAAACCCTGGAAGAGATGTCTATTTTTAATTACAGTGACGTCCTTGGCAAGCCCGAGGACGCAACACTCGTGCGATCAGACTTTAGGAATGCAGAGCGATCCTAAAGCGTCAGTTAAGCTCCGTACCCTGCGGGCCGAGCGCCGGGGCAGCCTCGCCGCCTTCGCGGGCCGCGGGCAGTGGGGACCGGGGGTGGGGCGTGGGGCAGGGGCGGCCGGGCGCATGCGCGCGCCTCCCCCGCCCCCCCCCCTCCTCGGACGCGTGCGGGGTCACCCGGCACTGCCCTGCCCGCCGAGCCCGGGACCCGGCCCCCGGCCACCTGCCGCCTCCAGCCGGCGCGGCTCCCTCCGCCCGCTCGGCATCTCGGCGCGCTCGCCCGCGCCTCCTCCGGCTCTGGGCACCGCGCGCAGAGCCCCGCCCAGGCCTGCGGTAAGGAGGCGGCGGGGACGCGGGCTCCGGGGACGCTGGGGACAGCGGGCGGGCACCTGCGCGCTGGCGTCACCGGGAGGGAGGCCCGGCGCGCTGCAGCCAATGGGAGCGCGGGGTGCGGGCCGGGCTTCACCTTGAGCGACCCGCGCGATGGACGGGTGGAGCCGTGCGCGCCCCGCCGGGATTTTCGGGGGCGGGAGCCTGTCCGAGCCGGCCGGTCGCTGGGGGCCGGGGCAGGCGGCGGCGGCCGGGCCTGGGCGCGTGCTCGGTGGCCGCAGGGGGCCCGCGCGCATGCGCCCCCGCACCGTCCTGCGGGGAGAGCGACCACCCTCCTCGCGGTGCCCGGTGGGAGGCGAGCTGGTTGCAGAAAGCCCTCGGCGGACCCTTGGCAGCACTGTAAGGAGCGGGAGGGGACGGGCCCCAGTGGTACCTTCTGGCTGCTCGGGGCTGGGACGGGGCGGGGGATCGTGGTGGGCAGCGCGCTGTCACCTTGGGTGGACATGCCAATTTGTGAACCCAAGCGGTGCCTGGGGCCTCACGACCCACCGCGCGTCTCTTTTTTCACTTTTTTTTTTTTTAATGTGAGAAACCGAAGATGTTGTAAGTTTTGCTGTTCTTCCAACTCCTATTTCCCTGAAGAATTGACTTAATATAGGAAAATATTCTGATTCAAATCGTACAGCCAAAGATTTAAGGGAAAGACGTTTTTTAAATATATATATATGGGTTTTTTTGCTTTGTTTTTCCCCTTGCCTTAGAAGTTTAGAAGTTTTCAGCTTAAAAAAAAAAACTGAAAATTTTCCAGCAACTGCTTTTACAAACCTTGCTAAATAGTTACAGAAATAGAAGGCAGTTGAAAGGAAAATCGCCTGGGGATATTCACTGTTAAATAAGTTACTTTCAAATAGAAAGTGGGCCAAAAGGCCAAAGATCTACCCTAGGTTCTTCTGTACTTGACAAACACAGCTCTTATTTACCTATCAGAAGTAAATAAAACATAGCAAAATAGTTTTTCCTTGAACTGCCGGTATTGTGGCTTTTCTTCCAGTTTAGTTATCTCTACGAAAAGTTATTTGAAACTCTACCAAGTTTAAAATCAAACTTTGCTTTTTATGAAATAGAAGCCAATATTGCTATGAAATAAATCACAGACACTGAATTGTGCTCTTCTCCCTCTGATACCCTTTCCCCTTCTCCAGAGAGGACACTAAAAAAATAAATAAATAAAAGTTTTCATTTTTGAATTTAAAAAAAAAAAAGCCCTTCCAGAGGAAACACCCACCTTGCCTCTACCCTCTGGGTTCTTGGCTGTTCTTGGGCTAGTGCTGGGAATTTATCATAGTAACTCTGCTGAGCCATATCATTTCAGTTCCTACCTTGCTTTTTTTTTTTCATGTTTTATAAGGATCTGCTTGTGTTGTCTGTCTTTTTCCTTCTCTCCCTTCCTCTTAGAGTTTTTGGGGAACTTACTTGGAATTGTCATCGTTTCTGTACTTGCATAGATCCTGACACATAAGTGCTCTGTAGATGCCTGTTGATGAACCAGAGAGCCCCGGGGATCTGCTAAAGGCAGTGTGGCCCTTTTAGCTACTCAGTAACAAGCGTTACTGTGGGAACCACACTGCATGATGGACCACCTTGGGTCACTCCAAGGTGCTGTGAGTGTTCATAGAGGGTGCTGGAAATCTTGCTGCCAGGGGGTAGTGAAGGAGGTAGATTTCCAGGGTAATTTCCAAGAATTATACTGAGTTATTCTTCTCCCCACTCCCCCCAACACACACATACTGAAAAGAGAGCAGTAGCCCAAGTAAGTCTGGGAACTTCTGGTCTAAATATACCACAGTTTATTAATCCATTCACCTAACCAGGGGCATCTCATCTGCTTCTGAAAGTTTTGGTAATTCTGAGTAAAGCTATTGTAAAGCTATTTGGTAATTCTGAGTAAAGCTATTGTAAAGCAAATATCTATGCAGCTATAACGTTTCAGTTCAACTAGTTAAATATCCAGGAATGTGATTGCCAGATCATATGCGATGTTTAGTTTTATTTTGTTTTGTTTTGGGTCACACCCAACAGTGCTCAGAGGTTACACTTGGCTCTGCACACAGGAATTACTTCTGGCATTGCTAGGGGACCATATGGGATGCCAAGTTCTTAACTTGGGTCAGCCGCGTGCAAGGCAAGCACCCTACCCACTGTACTATCTCTCCAGTACAAGTATGTTTAGTTTTTTAAGAAATTGCCAAGTGTCTTCCAAAGTGATGAAAGCACTCTGTATTCCAACCAGGTAAGGTAAAGGTAAAGGCCCTCCCGTTGATCGTCGATTTGCTCGAGCGGGCCCAGTAACGTCTCCATTGGAGACTTTGTTGTTACTGTGTCTGGCATATCAAATACTCTCGGTAGCTTGCCGGGCTCTCCGAGAGGGGCGGAGGAATCGAACTCGGGTCGGCCATGTTGGCCGCTTGTAAGGCGAACGCCAGAATGAAATGAAATGAGAGTCCTCTTGCTCCACATCCCTCCCAGCACTTACTGTTTAGTGATTAGGTTTTTTAACCATTCTAATAGATGTGTATTGGTATCTGATTGTTTTAATTTGCAATTCCCTAGTGACCTTGTGTTGATTATCTTTTCATGGGCTTAGTTACCATCTGTATTATCTTGTTTGTTAAGATCTTCGGCCCACTTTCTAATTGGATTGTTTATTTTCTTATTGTTGAGTTTTAAAGATTCTTTGAAAAAATAATTTTTTAATGAAACAAGATAGTTACATTGAAAGAAATTTATTTAGAGAAATGTGAGGTGAAAGAAAGAAAGAAAAATGTGTTCTGGGGACTGGAGCGATAGCACAGCAGGTAGGGCATTTGCCTTGCACGCGGCTGACCTGGGTTCGATTCCCAGCATCCCATATGGTCCCCTGATCACCGCCAGGGGTAATTCCTGAGTACAGAACCAGGAGTAACCCTTGTGCATCGCTGGGTGTGACCCAAAAAGAAAAAAAAAGAAATATGTGTTCGGTGGAGAACACAAACTTCTCCAGAGGGGAAAAAGACTAATTTTTTTTAAATCTAATTTTTTTTTTGGTGGAGGCAGCTCCTAGTGCCCAGAGCCCCACTAGGGGCTACACCTTGTTTAATGAACTGTGAGGTACTAAAGATCAAACCTAGACTTTGGTCCTGCAAGTCACATCCTCTACCATTTGAGCAACATCTTTGACCCCAGAATTTTTAAATTTCTTTGTTTTTTCTTTTTTGGATAATAGTTGTTTATCAGATGTGTATATCTTTATATATTTTTTTTTTGCAATCAGTGTCACATCAACTTTTTTTTCTAAAACTTTATTTAAACACCATGGTTTACAAAGTTGTTCATTATACAATTGTTTCAGGCATTCAGTGTTCCGACACCAGTCCCACCACCAGTCTGACCTTCCTTCCACCATTGTCCCCAGTTTCCTACCCAATCCCTCCCCAAGCCTGTCCCTGTAACAGGCACAAAATCATTTATTTTATATTGCTTGTTATAATAAATGGCAAGTGGAATTATCAAAAACTAGATCAGTAAGAGAAAGTTTGTGAAAATTGTCATATCTCACAGTGAGGTTATCAAAGTCATTGAGGATTTACTGATGTGTTTGTTGCTAGTTGCACTTTCTGTGTTGCTGTTTTTACTTACTGGGTTTAGTTGGCTTCTGTGCTACTTTCCCATTTAACTTGCAGGGCTCCTACTGGACTGTTGGTATTGTGGAATTTGGAGGTATCCAGGAGCTCCTTGGCCTGCCCCTCTCCAGAGGGGGACGCAAAGACTGGTGTCCCTGTGACTTTCATTGGCATCTCTTCTGAGATTAGTCATGAAGCTGTGAAGCTGAGCTGCTTACATGGCAACACCTGTGGTCTGTGGGTCAGATATGTATATGTTTTGACCATTTCTTTTAAGACTAACTCATCTTTTTCTTTCCTTCTGTTTTGTCCTTCTCTCAGCACAAGTTTTTCAGCATTGGTCAGGAAACTGGAGCTTGAGAGCCATGACCTACACTTTTTTCTGTGTTGTTATCTTCTAGGATATCTTTTATCTTTTATTTATTTATCATCTTTTATTATATTTTATCATTTATATTTTGGTCTTTGCATTAAAGTCTATTTTGAGTTAATTTTTGTGAAGGGTTTAAGGTCTCTGATAATTTCATTGCATGCAGACATCCACATGTTTCATGTGTCTTGAAAATTGGGTATTTGCTCCATTGTATTTCCTTTGTTTCTTTATCAAAGACCAGTTGACTATATTTATAAAGATCTCTTCTGGGCTCTCTGTGGATCCTTTTTCTCAGTTTTTATGTCAGTACAAAACTAACTTGACAGTGGTTTTATGGTTAGTCTTATTTTTTTTTTTAATTTATCATTTTTTTTTATTAGTGAAACACCATGAAGTATACTTATAGACTCACAAATTTTTGTGCTTGGGTTTCAGTTATACAATGATCAAGTACCCATCGCTCCACCAGTGCCCATCCTCCCCCACCACGGGTCCTATCATCCCTCCGACCCCCCATCCTCCCCCCCCCCCCGTCCCACCCTGCCGCTGTGGCAGGGCATCCCTCCCTGTTCTCTCTCTCTTCTTTTGGGTACTGTGTTTTGCCAGAGAGGCATTGAGTGGCAGTCATGTTTGGTCTATAGACCACTTTTAGCATGTCTCTCCCACCCTGGGAGGGTCTTCACAACACCCTTTATTTGGTGCTCTCTTCTCTATCTGAGCTTCCTTCTCACCTAGCACATGTGGCTGGCCTTCAAGTCATGGAGCAAAATTCCTGGTACTAATCTGAGCCCTTCCTGGGTGTTAGTCTCCCGTTTTGTTGCTTTATGTTCCCCAGATGAATGCAATCTTTCTGTGTCTATCCCGCTCTTTCTGACTCATTTCGCTTAACATGATACTTTCCATGTAGTACCACTTGTATGTAAATTTCATAACTTCATCTTTTCTAACAGCTACATAGTACTCCATTGTGTAAATGTACCAAAGCTTCTTTAACCAGTCATCTGTTCTCGGGCACTCAGGTTTTTTCCAGATTTTGGCTATTGTAAAGAGTGCTGCAATGAACAAACAGTTGCAGATGTCACTTCGACTATACCTTTTTGCCTCTCTGGGATATATTCCCAGGAGTGCTATAGCTGGGTCAAATGGGAGATCGAATTCTAATTTTTTGAGAATCGTCCATACTGTTTTCCAAAAGGGTTGGACCAGCCTGCATTCCCACCAGCAGTGAAGGAGGGTCCCTTTCTCGCCACATCCGCGCCAGCACCTGTTGCTTTTGTTCTTGTGGATGTGGGCCAGTCTCTGTGGTGTGAAATGATATCTCATTGTTGTTTTGATCTGCATCTCTCTGATGATTAGTGATGTAGAGCATTTTCTCATGTGCCTTTTTGCCATTCGGATTTCTTCTTTGCGAAAGTTTCTGTTCATTTCCTCGCCCCATTTTTTGATGGGGTTGGGTGATTTCTTCTTGTGTAGTTTAACCAGTACCTTGTATATCCTTGAAATCAACCCCTTGTCGGATGTGTATTTGGTGAATATTCTTTCCCATTCTGTAGGCTGTCTTTGTATTTTGGTCACTGTTTCTTTTGAGGTGCAGAAGCTTCTTAGTTTAAGATAGTCCCATTTGTCTATCTCTGTTTTCACTTGCTCGGCCAGTGGCGTGACGTCTTTGAAGATACCACTAACTTCAATATCGTGGAGAGTTTTGCCAACTTTGTCTTCAATAAACATTATGGATTCCGGTCCGATGTTGAGGTCATAAATCCATTTCGATCTTACTTTTGTGCATGGCGTTAGGCAGAGATCTGAGCCCACTTTTTTGCATGTAGCCGTCCAGTTTTGCCAGCACAATTTATTAAAGAGGCTTTCCCTGCTCCATTTCACTTTTCTTGCCCCCTTATCGAAGATTAGATGATTATATGTTTGGGAGGAGATGTCAGTATATTCAACTCTATTCCAGTGGTCTGCAGCTCTGCTTTTGTTCCAATTTTTGTGCTTGGGTTTCGATTATACAATAATCAGATACCCATCCCTCCACCAGTGCCCATTTTCCACCACCATGGATAATATCCCCCCACCCCCTTCCCCCCATCCTCCCCTGCCTCTGTGGCAGGGCAATCCCCTGTGTTCTCTCTCTCCTTTTGGGTGTTGTGGTCTGCAAAAGAGGCATTGAGTGGCAAACATGTTCAGTCCATAGTCTACTTTCGACATGCATCTCCCCTCCTGGGAGGATCCTCCAAACACCCTTTATTTGGTGCTCCCTTCTCTATCTGAGCTGCCCTTTCCTTTAGAATGCCTGGCTGGCTACTAAGCTATGGAGTAATCCTCCTGGGCGAGCACTGACTTCTTGGCAATATTGAGTCTTCTTGCCCTTGAACAGGATTATTCAGTTTACCTACTTCTTTGATTTCTTTCCTCAGCATTTTACAGTTTTCCTTATAGATCTTATACATATTTTACTTATTTCTAAATGTTTTACTTTGGGAAATGTTAATGTAAATGACAGTGTATTCTTAATTTCAAATTCTACTTGTTCATTGCTATTATCTGTTTTAATTTTTGAAGCAATTAATGATGCCTGGAAGCTGACAGACATAAATATTCAGAAATGTTTTGTCACCTGAGACCTGTGAAAAGGTAAGTTTCATGGTCCAATCTATAATTAATATTGGGGGTGGCAGTAGGGAAGACAGAGAACAATTTGAGTTTGGCTAATCTTAATGTATCAGTATCTTTCTAATTCTAAATTTCTGTTGAAGGGGTTAAACAGAAAAGGAAAATAAAAGTTTATATATACACTCGGGTGCTCCAGATATCCATTCCAAGAAGAAAGTGATTAGAAAACTACATCTTTCAGAGTAGTTCAGAGAAAATAATTTGCCCTTAGCATAATTCTTCTCATGATACATTCAAGCCTGTTGCTACCACATGGTAAACCACTTTATATTTAAACCCCATAGTGAGGACCTGGACTGGAGTGATAGCACAGTGGGTAGGGCATTTGCCTTGTACAAGGCCAACCCAGCTTCGATTCCTCCACCCCTCTCGGAGAGCCCAGCAAGCTACTGAGAATATCTCACCCGCACGGCAAAGCCTGGCAAGCTCCCCATGGCGTATTCGATATGCCAAACACAGTAACAACAAGTCTCACAATTTGTTGTGAGACGTTACTGGTGCCCGCTCGAGCAAATTGATGAACAACGGGAGGACAGTGCTACCGTGCAGTGCAGTGAGGACCTAACTTATCTGACTACCACACTTGCCATTTATTTATGCACTGTAGCACTCACTCATTTACTTATGAATAATCTAAATCCATCTATTTTAAGAAAGAATTTAAGAAATTAAGTAATATAAATTCAGTTGTCATGTTAGAGATCAGAAGCCCTATAGAAAAAGATCGTTATGATAAAGAGCATACCTGTTATATTCAAATAACAAAATCAGTCCTGACTTCCTGGTAGCCAAGACAAAAATTGAAAATAAATTTTCATTTGGCTGAGAATTCACCAGTCAGGCCCTGAGTTAAATCCTGCCACTTCAAGGACAAAAAAGAAAAAAGATCAAAATATATAAGCAAAATATAATTTGACCTGTATGTATAAGTCATATGTGTGAAGTATTAAAAATTTCTAAAACAAAAGAGCCATAGCACTGTTCTGTGTTTTGTAATTACTGTGAAAAGGAATTTCTTGGGGAGACTTCAACTTTCTCCACCAGTTCCATCTATAACAAGGATTATCAAGGGGAAGCTTTTTTTTTTTTTAATTGAATTTAGGACATTAAGTTCTTAGCTAGAAGAAAAGGGATAGAAACAGAGAAACAAAAAGACTGTGAGATACTAGACAATGCCCTCAGGACCTTCTGCAGTTGTGGAGACAGTCCAGTAGTCCAGTGTGAAATTTTTAAATGCCATGGACAGGCAGTGAATGGATGCCTTTGCATAATAGAACCTTACTTGTTCAGCTTCTTTGAGCCCAGTCTGTAGAAAACTTTTTTTTTCTTGTTTTTGAGCCCACACCTGGCGATGCTCAGGGGGTTATTCCTGGCTCAGTATTCAGGAATAACTCCTGGCAGTACTTAGGGGACCACATGGGATGCTGAGGATCGAACCTGGCTTGGCCATGTGCAAGGCAAGTACCCTACCTGCCATCTTATTTCCCTAGCCCCTATAGAAAACTCCCTCACTTATCACACACACACACACACACACACACACACACACACACACACACACACACACATTATAACAGTGGTTAACCTTGCCATATACAATATCTGGACATATTCTTTGCTTTATTGTCTTTTTTATTTGTTTTTGGGCCTCACCTGGCAATGTTCAGGGGCTACTTCTGGTGGCACTTGGGGACCATATTCAATGACAGGAATCAAACCCAGGTTGACTGTGTACAAGGCAAGCATCTTAACCTTTGTTCTATCTCTCCAGCCCCTCTTCTTTTTATCAAGGTTAGTTATACCCCAAAAAAGTTGATTTCATGACATATTGATTGAGGAAAAACACAACTTCTGAGTAATTGAAATACAACTACTTTATTGGTAGTAATGAATCAAATTATGTATGTTTAGAACTAACTCGAGACCTTGGTGACATTCTGTTATTCCTTCCACTTCAGTCTGTGAATCCCTTATATCCCATCAAGTGCTATTAATGATTTCCTTACAGTTGAATTCCATTGTGCTCCCACTCATGCTTTAACATGCAGCCTAGGCCTGTAGCTGTCCTGCTAGAACACAAAGATAAGTAGACATAGCACAAACACACATGATCACCAAAACCTGAAATCTGTCAGATCCTTGATAAAGTTTGTTGGCCCCTGTCCTACTGATTCCATCAGAAATCTCATACTCAACCATGGATGTAACATAGTAGAATATGTATTGCATATATGAGGTCCTAGGTCTAATCCTGGTGCCAAAAAAAGTGAATAAATAAAAGAATTCTGTTCGGTTTGGGGCCTCACCCAGAGGAGCTCGGGGCTCACTTCTGACAGGGCTTGGGGATCCATACAGAGTTCAGGGAATCAAACCCAGTTCAGCCATGTTCAAGGCAAGTGCCATGCCCAATCTACTATCACTCCATCCCCAATGAAAAAATTGTTTTAAAGAAAAAACTATAACCCTTTACTATTCTTCTAAATCCAGCTTGTGCTGAATTTGCTTAAGTTAAAGTAACACAATGTTTAGGTTTGGGTTCAGTTCTCCTGCATTCAACTAAATTTCCATTTATATATATACCTACACAATGTCCATTTCATGTATATTAACAATAATACTGGTGCCAGACCTGGAGATGTAGCCCCCTAAGTCTTCACATCCTTGGGCTGTCGGTGATTGAACAGAGCAGGAATCCCAAGGCAGGCTCATTCCTCCAGGACACAGGACTTTCTTGGATGGATGGTGTTGGTTTCGTTGTTGTTGCTCATTTTTATTGATGTATTGATACCTACAATCCTAGAATGAACAGATGCCACACAACAGGGATGAATGGAGACGTTACTGGCACCCGCTCGAGTAAATCAATGAATAACGGGGGATCAAGTGATCAAGTGATACCTACATAAGTAGTCCAGTACCTATTTCAGCTATAATACAAATATGAATTTTTCAGAAGTACAATCTTCTGAGAAGTGTATACACCACGCTGCACCCATTGCCAAAGTTGTAGTATAGGGCTCCACCTTTCAGTGGACCCGTTCCTCCTTGGCAGGTTGACTTCGATCCAAGAGGCAACCCCTGGACAGAGGGTGCTGCCCTCCAGGACTGTCTGCCCAGTGCTCCTTCCTCCTCTCTCCTGCCATACCATCTGCCCTGAATCACAGTCTGAAAACTCTCCCTCCCTCCTTTCTAGTAGTTCTCTCACACATCTAATCTCTCCTGGCCTCTGCTTGTAGCATTCCAAAGACAAAAAGACTCTATCTCTTGAAGATATAGAAGGGAAAGTTCTAGGGAAAATGGGTCCATTCCCTGTGGGCACATAGTAGGTCTACAGCCATCAGTTAGTGAGGATGTGCAGTTTGCTAGGTAGGGGATAGGGAGGGGGAGGTATCAGGGCTTAGATATGGGGTAGAAGAAAGAGAAGAATGAGGACAGTGACAGGGAACTGGAGCTGAGGGTCTCTCGAAAGAAGTGGGGGTCAGTTGGAAAAAATCGACTGGAAATGATTATGGAGCCCCTCAAATACCAGCCTAATGAACAGATTTTATTCTGCCAGAGTTGAAACACCACTGAAGGTGTTGAAGCAGAGTATGCAGTGATGTGGAAATTCAGGAAAATCAGTCTGTCAGATACATCGTTCGTGAGGAGAGGCCCAAGACTAGACTAATCAGGCAGCTGTGCAGACCAATTCTCAAGTGGTGATTGGTTTAGAGAAAACGGGAAAAAAGAAGGAGCAATTTCAGGGGTCATGATAAAGTGAGAACAAAACCAGAGAGATTGAAAATGGGAATAGTAGTCTGGGCAGTGGTAGGTTCATCCAAGGTTTTCTGCTTTATCAACGTTGGGCAAACCAGTACCACAATGGCAGAAATTAACAGAACCTGGATTGAAAGTATTCCTACCTCTCTGCTGACTGTGTCCAGGCTGGGTTTAGAAATAAAACAATGACCTCTGCTCCCTTTTTTAGACAAGTGACATGCCAGAGTAGCTAAGTGCCTATCAGATGTTTGACAACAAAACTGGAGCTCAGACGGGGAATAAATAAACAGAATTGCTGCTATAGCCACCACATATTTTTATTGCTTCCTGTTCAATTAATAACAGTTCAAACCCCTGTTATCTCTCTTAATGCACAACCTATATGTTGACTTTATAAAAGACTCAAATACATGTCAAAGACAGGGTGCTAGTATCTGAAGATACATGTGTGGTCTCCAGATTGTTAAAATTTCCTGAATTATAGAATACCTACCATTTTAGATAAAATATGTGAATATTAATATAAATATGATTTACATAATGTCAGAAATATAGATAACAATATACATAATATATAAAAATAAATGTGTGGGTATAATATATAGATATAAATATTTGATAGTATAATATAGTATATGTTAATAAATATTAACATTTCCCAACAATTCAGTATACCCAACATACGAGACCAAAATGTGCACAATACTTAGATTTTGTCTCTGAAGGCCATTATGGAATGGAAAGATAGGATTTTTTTTTAATTGAATCTGCGTATTCAATATGCCAAAAACAGTAACAACAAATCTCACAATGGAGGTGTTACTGGTGCCCGCTCGAGCAAATTGATGAACAATGGGAGGACAGTGCTGGACTAAATTACAAACTTACAAAGTTATTCATGATTCAGTTTCAAGTGTACCATGTTCCAACACCCTTCACTAGTATCCACTTCCCTCCACCAATGTACCCAGTATCCAGTCTGCCTTTTTCTTTGAAGGATAGATTCTGTCATTCAAAAGTAGATGTTATATAAATAAATGTTTCCTAAACATGGCAAATAATTTCATGTGATATAAAACTTTTTTAAAAGATGATGTATATTGTATGACTGAACCGCAAGCATGAAAGTTTGTTAAGTCTGTAACTACTGGATCTCACGGTGATTCACTAATAAAAAATTTTTAACAAAAGGTGATGTGTAAAAAACCTGAAGAATGAAATGTTAAGTTGTTCAACCTAGAAGAATTTTAACTTGCTAGTAATAGGCATTTTGTATTTCTTTTTAAGCACTTAAAATCACAAAATATTTTTCACTGTCGAGAAAATATTTGACTAATATTGAGAATTTTTAGTCTGAAAAAGAAAATGATGCAGAAAAGTTATCATTTGCAGTGAATACGATTAACATTTAAAAGTATATTTTGACGATAATTTTTATTACAGATAATGCTTTCGTATGTTGCTTCAGAGATATTGATATCCACTATGTTTAGAAACTGTTTAGAGCTCGTTGCTTGTTAAACTTTGTGGACTACAGAAAAACAGAATATTGCATTTTTTATTTCTCTGTTTCTGTGGTATTTTCTGCATATCCTAATTTCAGGATTACTGTCAGGTCATGCATTGAGGGTTTGTGTGTCAGTGCATCTGTGATTAATAAATGCACATCTCTTTTTTAAGGTTATGTCTAGAGAAGATCTTTCCACATTGGTTTCTCTACTCAAGAGCTTTATCGGGAGCGGAGGCAGTCAATGCTTTGAGACCATTCTATTTTGCAGTACATCCAGATTTCTTTGGACAGCACCCCAAAGAAAGGGTAAACCTTTTTTTTAATCTTTAGTCTACCTTCTAGTTTACCTTTGATATCATGTAATACAGAGAGCTTTCTAAAGTTTAATTGTTCTGTTGTGATGATGTAATCAGTGCTTTGAACTAATTTGAGATATAACACTGATCGTTGAAAATGTGGCTTTGTTTTATGAAGAATGTCATCTTGTTGTTATTGTTATCGCTTTGATTGTTTGAGGGTCTCACCTAGTGATACTCAGGGGTTACTCTTGGCTCTATGCTCAGAGATCACTCCTGGCATTGCTCAGGGGACAATATGCGTTGCCAAGTATGGAACCCCAGTCAGCCACATGCAAGGCAAGTGCCCTATCCACTGTACTATCTCTCTGGCCCCAACGGTGTCATCTTTTATGAAGGCAGTAAACCCTACCATAAAAATCCTTCATTACTATGTCATATTTTCTACAACCTGTGTGTGTGCGTGTGCATGTGTGTGTGTGCGTGTGCGCGTGTGCTTATTTGTTTTTTGGTTTTGCCATGCCTGGCAGTGCTCAGGATGTTCTCCTAGGTTTGTGTTCAGGGGTCACTCCTGGCAGTTTTGGGTATCAAAGCAGGATCAGCTGTGTGTAAGGCAAGTACCTTTACTCCTTTGCTTATCTCACCAGTAGCACTTTCTAGAATCAAACTGAAGGTGTGGCAGAAATTTTGAGGCCCCTATACCATGACCAGTCCTTTTTTCAAAAAAGAGATAAAAAGAAGATTTTTTTTTTAATGCGCTGATGTTGCATGCTGAAGCTTTGCTGTTCCACAGCCGCAATTATGTGTGCTCAAGGAACACAAAGGGACGTGAAAAACAGCAACACCAACTCAGGAAAGTCTGTGTTTGTAGTATGAAGTAATCTATTATGAAGCCAAATGCTTTGGAACTGTCTTTGGTTTCTTCATCTTCATTATTATTGACATTGAGCTTAACAAAAAGAAATTAAAAACCTTTAGGCCTTAGAACACTTCCTCTTGCAGTAGAAAATCAGTTTTCCTTCTCTGATCTAAGAAAGAAAGTCTGATTATGGTATTTAATATATACGTTGACTATTCAAAGCTAAGCCTTTCTGATTAATCAGTAAATTGAATCAATAGAAAAATATCCATTACCAGCCGAAGAGATGGTACAGCGGGTAGGATTGGTACATGGCCGACCCAGCTTTGATCCCCGGCATCCCATAAGGTTCCTGAACCTCACCAGGAGTGATCCTTGAGTGCAGAGCCAGAAGTAACGTGCCCACCCCCCAAAGACAACTGGGTGTGACTCCCAAAACAAAACACACACACACACACATAATACATTATGTGTGTGTATGTATCATATATATTTTTTTTCATTCCCTTGGGAACGTGTAAGTAATATAAATATGGAGAAATTAAGCCTAATAGTAGATGAGTGGTTTTCTTTTTGTTTTGTTTTTGTTTTTTGGCTTTTCGGGTCACACCTGGCATTGCTCAGGGGTTACTCCTGGCTCTGCACTCAAGAATTACTCCTGGCGGTGCTTGGCAGACCATATAGGATGCCAGGGATCGAACCTGGGTCTTCCATGTGCAGGGCAAACACCCCACCCACTGTACTATTGAACTGGCCCTCTACCAATCCATCTTTTAAACTCAGATTTCTGGTTAAACTTAACAGGGCTCCAGGAGAAAGCAGTTTGCCTACAAGAGGCCCAGGTTTGATTCCCTGGGACCACATGTTCCCCCTGAGCACTGGCTGGGAATAATCCTGAACACCACCTAAGTGTGGCCCAGAAAGCAAAGGAAAAAAAGTAGAGAATGTGAATTTAACCAGGCTTAGGGTGAGTAAGGCCTGCACACACTAGACCGCTGCTGCCCGTCTTGATATGAGCCCCATAGTCTGTCCTGTTCAATAATCTGTTTTGTTAGCTTGAGACCTCGGGCCAGAGAGAGACTTTCTGCTAATGACACATCATTGAGGCAAATGCCTCTTTTTGTGTCTGAGGCCTTGCTTTACGTTGGGATACTGGAAATTGAGTAGCTGAGTCAGTCACACGGGCACTTTGTCTGTGGACCTGACACCCAGTAAAGACACTGGACACTGAGATTGCATGGGTGAGGTTCCCGGGGTTAGCAACACTTTAGGTCATCTCACACTGTTGCTGGGGGAATTAAGCACCGTCCAAAAAACTCCGCTGGAGAGGGATCCCTGGAACTTGGTTCCTGGTGTCTCCTGGGCTTCACCCAGCCTCCCTTTTCCTGTGACTGGTTTCAGTCCTCATTCTTCGTTGCAGTGAACCAAACTCTGAGCGACAGCTTCTCCGTGATCTGTAAATCCTTGTAGCAAAGGGGAGAACCCAAGAGGGCCTTGGGAGCCCCCCAGCCCTGACATGGTTGTTTTGGTAAATGTTGCCTCCCCTTTTAGTTGTTCACTCTGTGTTTGAGCATCTGCCCTGTGCCAGACCTGCTCTGGTGCCCCCTCCCCCATGCAGATCATCCTGCCCCTAAGGTCTCCCCAAGAATGTTTCCCCAAGCCTTGGTATCCAAAGTTTTTTACTAGGAGTCAGTCATGTAGCGATGACTTGTCCTTGACTTTCTCACTGAAGTGCCTTCTTTTCAGTGAGGCTCTCTAGATGACCTTGCATAAAATTGCCACCCATGGGGTCAGGGCAGGAGTAGTTCAGCAGGAGAACATTTACCTGACATATGTGAGACCTGTGGTTCAGTCCCAGGCCTCACACATGCAAGCAAGGAAAGGAGAGTGGCCACCCACCTCCTCCCCAGTGTCTTCCCTGTTACCTGCATACTTGACCTGCTCTTTTTGCAGGAACCAATCTCACACATTTAGAAGTATAATTTTTTTCCTCTCCCATCTAAATGTATGTGATCTCTGTAATGGCTTCTTACTCTAACTTGTCAGCATACACTTGCCCCTTTTCTAAGGAACAGACATAATGACCCAGCTACTGATGACATCAGGCCAGGATCTCAAAGAGAAGCCTAGTTGTTTTTAACAAAAACGGTTTGCTTATTGTTTGAGGGCTACATTTGGCTGTGGCCAGAGCTTACTCCTGGCTCTGCACTCAGGGATCACTCCTGGGGGTGCTCAGGGGGCCATATATGGTGCCGGGGATTGAACTCTGGTCACCTTCATGCAAGGCAAGTGCCCTGCCCACTGTACTATCTCTCCTACTCTACCCTCTTACTTTTAATCTAGTTTTAAAACCTGATGCAAACATTAATATCTCACTGTAGCACTGTACCACTGTCCTCTCGTTGTTCATTGATTTGCTCGAGTGGGCCCAGTAATGTCTCCATCGTGAGACTTCTTGTTACTGTGTTTGGCATATCAAAAAAGTCATGGGTAGCTTTTTAATATCCCACATTAAAACTAAATTCAAAGTTTACTCAGAGCCTCAGGCACATCCCTATTTCCTTTATCCTAGTCCTGTTAATTTCCTGTAAATGACTTTTTATTTGTTTCTATCTATTTATTTCTGGCAAACATAAACACATACATCAAAAAATAATTACCATTCTTGAGAGATAGCTCAACAGACTGAGCACATGTTTTGCTTTTAGGAAACATGGTTTTGCTCCTGGCACCACCAGGAGTGACACCCCCCCGAACACTGCCAGAGGTGGCCCCCAAATCCAAAGTCATTAATAAATAAATACTTACAAAATTATTAATAAATAATGACAATTAGTTTTGCCACTAGTAAGAAATGTGCCTCACTTGCTCGGGGGTTTTTCATGGCTTAGAACAACAGACCGTGATAAACTAAGCAAGAATAAATGGACTATTTCTAATTGCATGTTACACCCTGTGTCTGGAAAGTGGTGATTTGTGCCTTTCTCTAGACTTGTTTCTTCACTAAGGAACACATATTTTTTTATTTAACAATCTTTCCTACAAGTCATTCCCTGGTAATTCCAACATGTCCCTGTTTTGGGTGTGGATTGTGTAATGTGGCATTGAAGGTCAAGCCCTGAATGAATGTACATAACATAATCTAACCCTTCTTTTCTGGATGGGCATTTTAAGATTCACTTACATAGAGAGAAATTAGTCCTTTGCCGCAAAATGACTTATATATGTTCTGCAGTTGGTTGTTTCCAGACTGCTTCCGTGCCCTTGTGGGCTTTTGAAAGGTTTAAATTTTTGCATCTAATTGGATTTATCTATCAGTAATTGCTTTGGGATCTTCAGTCATCATTAGGCTTTGTCCACGAAGGGAATTCATGCTTTCTTCATCTCGTCTGTGATACTCATTGTGCCACAGGATGTTAGATATGGATTTATTTTCTCTCTGGTAAGAGCCATGAATCCCAGCGTTTTTTAATATGCTCACTAATATTTAGAAGGCTGAGATGTAATTACCATTGTTTTCTTCTAGTTATATGTAAATATCACTTTAATATGTTTTCCAGGAAGTCAATGAAAATTCTCTTAAGAGATTAAGTGTCTACTTAGAAAATATCCAGAAACCAGGCATCAAGTCTCTGAAACCAACTCAGCTCATGTTTTATGTCAGAGAAACAGACCAGAATTCATCGGATGGCCAGGAATCCTTCGGTGCTTCCGGTACATTTTCTTACTTTTAGTGTCCCCCTTGCAAGCTCCATGTTAAATGTGTTCATTTGCTCTGACATTGCCATCATTTGGATTGAAGCCTCTAAGAATAGCAATAATGTTTAACCAACAATTTTTCTAAAATTAGAGTATATTTCTGACTTTGTATGTTTGAACAAGCTGTTCTTATTGTGTTTCAGTGTTTTTGTCCATATAAAACTGAAGCGTTACCATTTTTTCCTTTCCTATTTTAGTGCTGTTTTAATTTTTTAATTATTAAATACCAACGTAAAAAAAATTAGAGCTGGAATGATAGTATAGCTGGTAGGGCACTTAACTTGCATGCTATTGATCTTGGTTCTCTCCCCAGCACCCTGTATACACCCCCTGACCCGAGCCCACCAGGAGTGATACTTCAGCACAGAGCCAGGAATAAGCCCTGAGCACAGCTGAATGTGGTCCAAAACAAACAAATAAGTAATGAATTTAAGTACAGCTTATATTCTTTTCGATAGTCCTTCAGGTACTCTGGCAATATTTGTATAGTTGTAACATGGCCAATTACTTTCCCTGGATTCTGGAGATAGAATATGGGTCTTGGGCTGGAGCGGTAGGACAGCTGTTATTGCATTTGCCTTGCATGTGGCTGACTCGGGTTCGATCTTCAGCATCCCATATGGTCCCTTGAGCATTAGGAAACATGCTTTTGTTTCAAGAGTAATTCCCGGGGCTGGAGGTATAGCACAGCGGGTAGGGTGTTTGCCTTGCATTCGGCCGACCCGGGTTCGATTCCCAGCATCCCATATGGTCCCTCGAGCATCGCCAGGAGTAATTCCTGAGTGCAGAGCCAGGAGTAACCTGTGTGCATCTCCAGGTGTGACCCAAAAAGAAAAAAAAAAAAGAGTAATTCCTGAGTGCAGAGCCATGTAATCCCTGTGCGTCGCTGGGTGTGACCCAAAGAGTCAAAAAAAAAAAAAGAATATGAAATATGGATTCTTGGGGCTTGAGAGTTAGTACAGCGGGTAGGGCATTTGCCTTGCATATGGCTGACCCGGGTTTAATCCCTGGCATCCCTTATGGTCCCCCAAGCACTGCCATGAGTGATCCCTGAATACAAAGCCAGGAGTCAATTGAGTACAGCCTGGTATCATCCAACCCCTGCCCCTCCAAAAAAATTAAGAATATGGGTACTTTAGTATTCTTTTTTTTTTTTTTGGAGTTGGGAGATGAAGATGGGAGGGCCTACAACTAGGAGTGTTCAGGGGCTGTTCCTGACTCTGCTCAGAAGCGAACTCAGGGAGCCCTCAGGGGACTATCTTTGGTGTCTTGGGATCATTGAACCAGGGTCAGCCACCGGCAAGTAGAGTACTTTGCCTTCTCTGCCTCTCCCCTGCCCATTCTTCACTATTAAAATGCAAGGATAAGACTGGTCTGCACACAGTTGAGTGTTGCCCAAATCCCCCAATCCCCCCAAAATTTTTATTTTTAATAATTTTTTTATATTTGTTTTCAGTGGTTCTCAGAACTTAATTCTGGGTCTCAGGATAACTCATGGTAGGACTTGGGGACCCTATGGGGTGCTAGGATATTTATCTAAAATAAAGTAAGGAGTAAGGCACTATATCTAAAATAAAGTACTGAAGCAGGATATAGCATTTGGTAGTATATTTTCTTCATTTCTTTGCCCTTAACTGAACATGGAAGATTTCAAATTCCTTTCCTTGCCTGTTCCCTGATCTCTCTCTGGTATAAAGTTTGCTAAAACCAGACCCTATTCTTTATTACAGACAAGTTGTTCTCAAAGACGTAATGTCCCCATGGTGGAATATAACAATTTCCACAAATTTTCTTTCACTGAAATATATTTTTATCATTTCATTGGCCATTTAGTGGTCACTGTCCTGTCCTGTCCTCCCATTGTTCATCGATTTGCTCGAGTGGGCCCAGTAACATTGTGAGACTTGTTACTGTGTTTGGCATATAGAATATGCCACAGGTAGCTTGCCAGGCTTTGCTGTGCATGTGAGATACTCTCGGTAGCTTGCTGGGCTCTCTGAGAGGGGCGGAGTAATCAAACTCGGCTTGGCCGTGTCGGCCACATGCAATGCAAACGCCTTACCTGCTGTGCTATCGCTCCAGCCCAAGTGTAGCCATGATAATAATTATTTAGCCTTTAAAATAGTTAAGCATATAAACTTTTAACGTAAAGGCCCTCCCATTGATCATCGATTTGCTCGAGCGGGCCCAGTAACGTCTCCATTGGAGACTTTGTTGTTACTGTGTCTGGCATATCCAATACGTCACAAGGAGCTTGCCAGGCTCTGCCGTGCGGGCGAGATACTCTCGGTAGCTTGCCGGGCTCTCCGAGAGGGGCGGAGGAATCGAACTCGGGTCGGCCTTGTTGGCTGCGTGCAAGGCAAACGCCCTACCGCTGTATCTCGCCCGCACGGCAGAGCCTGGCAAGCTCCCCGTGACGTATTCGATATGCCAAACACAGTAACAACAAAGTCTCGAACAACAAAGAAGACATTAATTCTACTATCAGTTCTGTCTCTCAATTTGCTATAAAAAAAAGAGTAAATATTGAACAAAATAAGCTTTCCAAATTTCCCTCTGCACTCTCATACTGGGTTTATTTTTAAAAATCCATATGCATTTATTTCTTATTCTTAGTTCAGTGTTTTGATTTACAAGTCACATTCTTTTAAAGAATTTATTCTTTATTGTTACTAATCATTTTTGCCATTATGACAGATTGGCACCTTGAAAAAGGCTGTCACTGTCACTGTCTTCCCGTTGTTGTTCATTGATTTGCTCAAGCAGGCACCAGTAATGTCTTCATTGTGAGACTTGTTATTACTGTTTTTGGCATATCGAATACACCACAGGGAGCTTGCCAGGCTCTGCCGCGTGGGCAGAATACTCTCAGTAGCTTGCTGGACTTTCCAAGAGGGACGGAGGAATCAAACCCAGGTCGGCCGCGTGCAGGGCAAACGCCCTACCTACTGTGCTATCGCTCCTCCCTTTTGAAAAAGACTAATTTTTTAAATAATCATATTATCTTATTATTGTTTAAAATCAAGTGTTGGGCAGGAGAGCTCAATGGGCTGAGCACATGCTTAGCATGCAGAAAGCCCAGATGTGATCTTTGGCACCTCATGGCTCCCGAAGTTCCATCAGAGCAAACCCTGAATCCATAGTCTAGAGGAGGAGGAAAGGGGAGGGGAGGAGGGGGAAAAAAAAGAAGAAAGAAACAGAGTCCAAAGGAGCACCCCTAGGTATGGCCCCCCAAATAATAACAACAACAAAAACAATAATAATATTAATTTAAATATTTCTAGAATGCTGGAAATTAATCATGCTTTTTTATTATAAATTAGGATAATAGGGTAAAATACTTACTAATGACTTTCATTTCTGGAATTAAAGAGGCCTGTCTGTCATTTCAGACCTGTCTTTTTAGTGGTTTGTGGGGGGGAAAATTTATTATAAGGGGCTAGAGAGATAGTACAGCAGGTAGGGCATTTGCCTTGCACGTGGCCGATCCGGATTTGCTTTGATCCCTGGCATGTGGTCCCTGAGTACGGCAAGGAATGGTCCTTGAGCACAGAGCCAGCAGTAAGCACTGAGCTTACGCCACACAAACGCACTTTAAAAAGAAAGAATTAGTGGGGTGGTAAATGAAAATGGAAACTGGGGCATCTTTCCTGACATAGTTCCTCCCTTCATTTGGTTTTTGGGCCACACCCAGCAGTGCTCAGGGCAAACTCCTGGCTCTGCATTCAGGGATCACTCCTGGCCATATGCGGTGCCAGAGCAGCCACATGCAAGACAGTCAACCAACCCACTATACTATCACTCTGCGAGTATTTTTTGGCTTTGGGCTTGGGGATCACACCCAGTGGTGCTCAGGACTTACTCCTGGCTTAGGGGTCACTCCTGGTGGTGCTCAGGAGACTGGGTCTGGCCCCATACAGGATAGGTGCTTCATCCCTGTAGTATCTCTCCAGCTGTGATTTTCTTCTTCTTCTTTTTTGTTTTTTTGTTTTGTTTTGTTTTATTTGGGGGCCACATCCAGCGGTGCTCAGAGTAACCTACTCACTGTACTACTCTGGCCCCATATGATTTTATTTTTAAAAAATATGAAACCTAAGTCCTTTTATTTCTGTTCTTTTTCAACATTTCCTGACTCTTAGCTTCTGCCTTTTCCCTCTCCCTCCTCCTGCTCAGTGCAGGGATCATCTTTGGCTGCACTTGCTCGTGAAGCAGAGCCTTTGGTCTCTGAGACTGGAAGAGCCAAATGATGGCCAGCAGGGAAAATATCCTGAACCCTTCTTAGACCGTGATAGGTTTGGTGACAAACGGAAAACCAAAGCCAGCGTTTGTAGGAGTTTATGAAGATTAGGATGACAGGGTCTAGTTTCAGAGAAGAGAGCCAGGTCTCCATCTACAGATGATCAGCCAAGGGGATGGCTTTTCATTCATGGCAGAATGTTTTAAAAGTTTTTAAGTGTCTATAGATACTGCATCTAAAATATTTTTTAAAGTAAATAATCATCTCTCTTCATTGTTTGGGGGACTTGTATTCTCCAGGATTCCGAGCAGTCAAATTTACTTTGCACACCAGAGATCTGCTGAGCACAGTATTATATATTCTCAACTCCTGCAGCTTGTCTGTTGAACATATCCAGAGTTTGAATACCAGCACACCCTCCCAGCCTCCCAAAGAGGCGAAGAGGGGATCCGACAGGCCCATCAAATGGGACAAGACTTACTACACTTTCACCGGATTCAAGGATCCTGATGAAGACCTTGAGCACGTGTCAAGAATGGAAACCACCCTCACGTATGGAGAAAGTTTTATGTTACTCAGTGTATTTATAATTCATATTTACAACTAAAGTCTGCTTTTTCAGAAGTGGTCCTATCTGTCTAACTATATAATAATAAATGTAGATTGGGGGGGTTGTTTTTTTGTTTGTTTGGGTTTGGGTTTTTTGGGTTTCTTTTTGTTTTTTTACTTTTTGGGTTACACCCAGCTATGTTTAGGTGTTACTCCTGGCTCTGCACTCAAGGATTACACCTGGTGTGAGCATAGAAATAGTGATTTAATTCAGTACATCTCATCAGATTGTGTTTACTTGAACTTACCAGTGGCCTTCAGCTAATCAAAATTTATTCATGAAAGCACGTTAAGATATTTCTAAAACTTAGGACACAAGTTAAAAAGATAATACATTGGACTGGAGATATACTAGAGTGGGTAGAGCGTGTTTGCCTTGCACATGACTGACCTGGGTTCAGTCCCGGGCACACCCCACCCCACCCCCCAAGTACCACCAGGAGTAATTCCTGAGCACAGAGCCTCGAGTAAGCCCTGAAGTATCGTCAGGTATGGCCCGGGGTGGGGGGAGGGAGAAGCAAAAAATAATTAATTTTTTTAAATACAAAATAACAGTATTTAATATAGATTTAATTATTTTTCTGGCAATCTCAGAAGATTGAATCCAGGGCAATTCAAAGCAAGTGTTTTCTTTCTCTGAGCCACCTTCTCAGTGCTACATTCAGGCTATAGTTATTTCTTACCATTTTGAAATAAAACACAGAAATTGGGGCCCGAGAGATGGTACAGCAGACAGCCAGCCTTGCAGACAGCCAGCCTGACCCCTGGCACCATGCATGGTATCCGGAGTACAACCAACACAGAGCCAGGTGTGACCCCAAAACCAAATATATAGATCTTTTTTTATTAATTTTTATTAGTGAGACACCATGAGGTACAGTTGTAGACTTACAAATTTTTGTGCTTGGGTTTCAGTTATACAATGATCGAATACCCATTCCTCCACCAGTGCCCATTTCCCACTACCATGGATCCCAGTATCCCTCCCACCCCCCATCCCCCCAATCCCACCCTGCCTCTGTGGCAGGGCATACCCTTTTGTTCTCTCTCTCCTTTTGGGTGTTATGATTTGCAAAAGAGGCATTGAGTGGCAATCTGAAAGTAGACTATAGACCAAATATATAAATCTTGAAGAGAAATCAGTTGGGTTTTGAGGGCCTCCCAGGAAGCACTTGGGGAATCTGGGGCCACTCCTGGAGACACTTGCTTGGCCAAACACATTGTACTCTTCAGTGTTGGGCCTAGGAATGCAGCGCTGTCAAGGCCCAGTGGTCAAGCCCTGCTCCTCAGGCAGTCAGGCGGTCACCTCTGACCTCTGTCCCATCTCCCCAGCTCAAGCTGACTTTAAAAAAAAAAAATAGAAAACTTGGGGTTGGAGCAATAGCACATTGGGTAGGGCTTTTGCCTTGCATGCAGCCGACCCGGGTTCGATTCCCAGCATCCCATATGGTCCCCTGAGCACCGCCAGGAGTAGTAATTCCTGAGTGCAGAGCCAGGATCCGCCCCGAACATCGCAGTGTGTGACCCAAAAAGAAAAAAAAAGAAAAATTTTCAAGTCATAAAGGTTCCATTTAATCTATTTTCACATAGTTTTGCTTTGTCCTTTAAAAAATAGAAACATTTTATCAGTATATTTAAGAATTGTTTTTCAGAGCTGGAGCAGGAATTCCTGGACAGTGGGTCAGGTGTTTGCCTTACACAGCTGACCTGGGTTCTATCCCTAGTATCCCATAAGGTTCCTCAAGCGCCCCCAGGACTGAACCCTGAGCACTGAGCCAAGTGTAACCCCTGAGCATTGCCAGGTGTGGCTCAAATTTAAAAAAAAAATTTTTTAAAAGAATTGTTTCTCAAAATCCTTATTTCAGGCATATATACAAACGTGTGTATGCTTACGTGTAAGGTGTGTGTATTGGGTCACCACTTAAAATATTTTGTGGGCTGGGAGGATGCTCAAAGGGCTGGAACACACATTTTGCATGCTGGAGGCTCAGGAGCGGCCCCTGAGTGAAAGGAGAGGTGAGTGCAAAGAGGAGTCCCACTTGGGTAAAGTTTTAGTTGTAGATTCAGCTTCATAGTTAGTGGCTGTGCTTTAAGGTAATGTGTCTTTTATTAGTAGAAATGCTTGCAGTGTAATTCATATTGTTAGTATCAGAAAGTAAATGCATATGTATGTTTACATGTATCTGGGTATCTGGTATGTGTGTATATGTATATATATATATATATATATATATATATATATATATATCTGTTTTCTTCTTAGATCGTGGTTAGATAACAATGGAAAAAGTGCCGTTAAAAAGCTGAAGAATAGTCTGCCACTTAGAAAAGAACTAGACCGTTTAAAAGATGAACTATCTCACCAGCTGCAACTCACAGACATCAGGTAATAAAGAGGAAAAAGGTAATTTAGGGATTAAACTAAACTAGTGTTACCTATAAAGCAGCTCAGTATTTGTATCCTTTTTTCCCATCAATACGTAAATAGTCTTTTTTTGGCTAGGAAGCAATATTTATTGTCTGTTGGGGAGTGGGGGGGCTTGCACTCAAGGGAAATAGGAAGGAGTCAGGAGGGATAACTCCAAGGCTCTTGGGAATTCAGGGCCCCGCGTGGAGGTATCTGGACCAGAAGGAAGCATGAGCAAGGATGTACCTGACCCCATACCCACCTGGGATGAGCCACTTTTACAGCCACCATGCCTTCAGACTCATCCGCATTAAACTCAGTAAAGCGCCATTGGACATGTGGCATGCTTGATGGCTGGGGAACTTGAGGTTGGCCACTCTGGAGTTCAGTCCCATCATGCCCCTGGTTCTGAAGCCTGGAGCAAAGGCCATGATGACTTGTGAGCCCCGGCCACTGAGCCTCAGGACTTTGAAAGACACACCTGCCTAGTGCCTGAGATTGTTGCAGCTAGTGTCCACTGCAAAGGCTGTCTCGGGGGTTCCTTAGGGCGGCCTTTACAAGCAGCCGGCTGTGGACATTCCCGCGGGAACTGCTGGGTGCCTCTAGCACACACAGGGCCCCACAGGCCAGAGAGCACGGTCGGATGTGTTGGCTGCAGAAATTGGGCTGGAGAGATGGTGCCACACGTGAGGCACTTGTCTTGCACAGGGAAGACACAGGTTTGGTCTCTGACACCTCATATGTTTCCCCAGCAACACCAGGACTGATCCCTGAGCAAGCTCTGAGCACAGCCAGGTGTGGCACAAAAGTAAAAAATACAAACAGACTCAATATGTCTCTACCGAAGTATTCTTCAACTGTCATTTTGTGAATGTAATCAAAAGTTCAGGGGCTGGAGGATACTGTTGCAGTTAGGGTGCATCCTTGGTGTGGTCCCCCCAAGCACTGCAGGGTGCCGTGCTAGAGGCTCCCAGGTACCAACAGATCACCCAGAGCAGCTTCTCGGTTCTCAGGGCCCTTGCATTGAACCACCAGCCCCGTTGGCTGAGAATCATGGGTGGCCACCAGACTTACCAAACTCCACTTAGGAGGTGTCCCCAGAAAAAGTAACCAAATGTTCATCTATATAAGAAAACTGTTACTTCTTATTTAAAATTGTGAGGGGGGCACTGGAAAGATAGTACAGCAGGTAAGGCATTTGCTTTGCACACAACTGACCAAGGTTCAATCACCGGAACCCCAAATGGTTACCTCAGCACCACCAGAAGTAATTCCTGAGCACACAGTCAGAACTAACCCCTGAGCACCATTGGGTGTGTGGCACCAAAACCAAAATCAGTAGAATCATGAGGGAGCAGCCAGGGAGATATCTCAGAAGGCTGGCGCACATGCAGAAGCCCCAGATATAACTCCAGCACCAGGGGGTCCCCAAGCACCCCCACATGTGACCCCAAAACCAACAAGAAAGAGAAAGGAAGAGAGAAATAAAATGAGGATTGTATTTTTGGTTCTATGTTTAGCATGACTTTTTAAATATGTTTCCATGGGCAGAGAGAGAGAGAGTATAAGGGATGAGGGGCTTGCCTTGCATGCAGCTGATCTTGATTTGATCATCAGGAGTGACCTAAAAGCCTGGGGGAAATAAATATTTTGCCATACACACATATATGGGCTGGAGCGATAGCACAGCGGGTAGGGCGTTCGCCTTACAAGCGGCCAACATGGCCGACCCGAGTTCGATTCCTCCGCCCCTCTCGGAGAGCCCGGCAAGCTACCGAGAGTATTCGATATGCCAGACACAGTAACAACAAAGTCTCCAATGGAGACATTACTGGGCCCGCTCGAGCAAATCGACGATCAACGGGAGGGCCTTTACCTTTACCTTTACCTTTTACACGTATATCATAGGTAAATGAAGATACACACTGAAGCTTATTGTAAAAATGGATTTAACTGCTGCTAAAACTAAGAAAGGAGTTCTGTGATTCAGAAATGGAATTCCCCGTTATAGGAACCCTGGAAAATTGTCACCTGGTCTTAAACATTTCCATGACCTGCTGCAGCCTGTTTTACTGTTTTCAGTCCTGACAGTGAGAACTTTTTTTTCTGACGACAAAAGACTATTTGCATGTCCTGTTAACAACTTTCCTATGCTCACAGAGTACAGATAGTACGTATATGTTCTCTTCTCATCTAGCCAAGACTATTCAGAGTTCAAAAGAACATTTCAGTTGAAGTCTGTCTGATGCTGGGACTCATGCTCTGAATCATGATAAAACCCTTTTATCATCACATCATCTCTAGCCCATGCTTTGATATGTACGGGGTTTTTCTTATTCCATAGTCAAGTGACAGATTTTTATTCCAGCTGAAAGCAAAATATTATGTTCTTTTAAATGTCTACGAAGTAAAAAAGTGCATAAGAATAATTTTTCCTAGTATGTATTTTAAACATTCTATCAAAACAGACTGGAAATACAAAAATGAAAAGACTAAACCCAAAAAAGGAACAAGCTGGAAGGATTGTACAGCGGGTAGGGTGTTTACCTTGCACACGGCAGATCCGGGTTTGAACTCCAGTACTCTGTATGGTACCCTGAACACCACCAAGAGTTTTCCCTGAGCACCACTGAGTGTGGCCCAAAAACCTAAAAATGAACTGAATAAATGTAGTAAAAACAGCATTTGCTAGCCTTGTGAAAATGTTAATTTTAAATTATACTTCATTTTTCTTATTTGATTGTTAAAAGATAGAACTTACAATCCATTTCATCATAACAGAAATGACATTCACGAGCATTTAAGTGTTTGAGCCCTTTTTTGAGTACCTTACCGTTTGCTTATATTATGAACTTTGATTTATTCTTCCTGTGCAGCGGGCAATGCCCCCACTTTCCATCTCTGAAAGAGAACTCCAAGGAAGATTAGAAATACCCTGTTCAAAGCCCCAGAGCTAATAAATTGCAGAAGTAGAATGCAGAGGTGGATGCTGACCCCAGCACGCTAGCGGTGTGCATTGTGCCTCAGAGACTCCATGAAACCTTCATTTTTCATTGTGTTGCTAAGATTTTATCTTCATTTATGAAATGATTCGGTTCCATTATGTAGTAAGTCACTTTGTCTAGACTAAAATGTTCTTTTAAAATTCAGTAAATCTGCAGGAATCTCTCCTTAGAGCTGAAACTGAAAACAAAGTCATCATCATTGAACGAGGTGAAAAACAAAAAGTTGTGGGGTTTGGGGTTTGTTTGTTTGTTTGTTTGTTTGTTTTTTCACTCTTCTTTTAAAATAAAGACAAAAGAGTGCTTTTGCCTGTTGAAACTCATCTGGTAGCTGAAGACAGTAGTGATAATCTCATCCTCTGATAAGCAGTTTCTTCCCCATTTGGGTTGCATTATGAGAAATGAAGTACCAGGCATTTTCACGAAATCTGACGCATTTGGAAAGATGTTGTGTGCCAACCTGAGAAAGAAACCCCTTGGCTTTCCCCAGGAGTCAGTCGGTGGGGGAGGGCGTGCGCCTCCTAGGGGTGCCAGGGCTGACTGCCTGCCTGTTTATCTGTTGGACCAGGTGGCAGAGGAGCTGGGGCATTGCCCACCGCTGCAGCCAACTCCACAGCTTGGGCCGCTTAGCACAGCAAAACTCGGAAGCACTCAGGAATGCCAAAGGTAAACCATTTCCGTTTTCTTGTCACATCTCCCTTAGAAAGGCAGCTGAAAGTCTTCACATATGTGATATTCTCTCAATTAAATTTGTTTAATCTGTTGGAATAAAATGCGACATAAAAACTTAGCCCCCAAGCTTCTCCTGAGTTGAGTTCTGAATATATGCCCTACATTGAAGTAACTATTTGAACAGTGCTGAAAGAATGAGGCATCTCAGGACAGTGACCAAAGGGTTTGTGTTTTATCATCAGGATGTACGATAATATTTACAGACCGTTCCGGCATGAGTGCGGTGGGCCATGTAATGCTGGGGACAATGGATGTCCATCATCACTGGACAAAAGTAAGAAACAGCTTAAAGCAAACTCCCCCCAAAAGTTTTGAATTGTCATTGCCCTACTTTTGTGTCTCACAGTACTATTGATGTCAAAGAGCTATAAAATTTAAGTCATTAGCTTCAGCTGTGCTTAGAAATTCAACATCAAATACTTAAAAATACTCAGAAGACTGATTTTCAAGTTTCTGTTTCTGTTGGTAGATGTTCTGAAGTGCAGCTGAAAGGTCCTGCTTCCTATTGGTTTGGTTTGGTTATTTTTTTTTCAAAGAGATTGATTCTGATTGCTCAAGGCGTCTGGTGTGTATCTTTTGATGGAATCTGACATCCATGAATACCCAGGAAACCATTAACACAGTCAGGACTGCAAACATACCCACCACCCAGGAACATGGCCTGGGCCCTCTCCTGCCACCACCTCTTCCTCAGCTCTGCACGGGTCCCGCTTCCTATCATCAGAGATGAGTTTGTACTTCCTCTGTCTTCCTTAGCTGTTATCAGAATAGCCTCTGTGGAAGGTGGGAGACTGATTTCTTTCACTCAGCATGATCCTTTGAAATTCATCACACATTGGGGGTGGAGAGATAGTTTATTGGGGTAAGGCCTTGCATGGTCTTCTGAGGCCCCCACATGGTCTTCTGAGCTCACCAGGAGTGATTCCTAAATGCAGAGCCAGTAGTCACCTCTGTCTGAGGATTGCCAGGTACAGCCCAGACTGTGCCCCCTCCATCTCCTCCCCCCCCCGCCTGTCCCCGCGCCAAAAAATAAAAATCCATCACGTTTAAGTGTTTATTGCATTGTGTTCCCAGATAGTGTCCAGTGTATGGGTGCACCCTGCTTGTCCAGTCACCTATTGAAAGACCTGGGGCTGTGTCAGTTGGGGGCCTGCAGTGTTTTTTCACACGTGGGAAAAAAATATGTACATGTAGTTTCTTTTCTCTTGGGTAAATCCCTGGGAATGGGGGTGGGGGCTGAATCGTACAGTGGCACATTTGACTTTTAGATACCGCCAACACTGGCTGTGCCATCTCTTTACCGTGAAGCATCCTAATGGGTGTGCGGCACTGCTGTCTCCGTTGCATTTGCATTTCTCTAAAGAGCATGTTCTCTTGCGCTGTTTGCCATTCTCTTCTTTGGCAACGGGTCTGCTCGTATCAGCTATTTGCTGTACAGTATTTACAAGCCTGGCAAAATCTGTGTATCCAGAATCTATAAATTGCTCTGAAAGCATGTCACTAAACAATATAGATGGATGACAGATAAACACAAGAAAAAGACATTTGACCTTGACCGTGTGAACACAAAAAGACAGCAGCAGTCTATCTCTCCCGCCACCGCCTGCGTTCAGTAGTCTCAGGGAGACTCCCTGAAGACTCTACTCCTGGGAGGTCGATGGCGATGGGGAGGTGAAGGAAGGAAACCAGGGCCAGACTGGTTAGTCTTAGTTGCAGTTTTTCCAGTTCCTCTCCATTCACTCCTGTCTCTCCTCTGCCTCCTCCAGCCCATTCTTACAGTCTCATTATATCCCATAGAAGAAATTTATGTCATGAAGGGCCAAGGTTCTCTCATACCTGTGACTCCAGGTTCTCTCAGACCTGTCACCCTCTTAGAGAGCCCCGAAATCTCCTTTCATTGATCATGGTACTGTTGGGATCGGGAGTTCCCTAGCCCTGGGAGGCACGGAGAGACCAGATAGACACAATTCCTGCAGGAGTAAAAACGGGGTTTATTTAGACCAGCATGCTGGGGCTCCGCAGCATACCCCAAAAATGGGCAGTGGCTGAGAGCCCCGAACTTCTTCAAAGGGGATCTTATATAGGCCTTCACTGGCCTTTACAGCAAAGCCCGCGCATTTCATAGCCAATAGATTTGTAACAACATATACTTTCTTAACCAATCCATTTAAAATTACCTCACTCCTTAGCCTATAGATTCAAAGATCAGCATTTACGTACATCGATTGTCAGCACAAGCAAGGTTATAGCCGGAATCATTAAGCCTTAGGTAATCTCCCTTGACCATCCTCGTTTTGAGTTACCCAAGTCTGCAGGGTGCTTTAGTGAAATAATACATTCCAGGAAAGGGCAATTTCCCCCAACCACCTGCATCCTGAGTTATCCTTTACCCAAATCTGCAGGGTGCTTTACTGAGACAATACATTTAAGGAACAGTAAATACACCTGAATCCTGTCATACTTGGTTTAGAAAGAAGTTATGCCCTGTTCACTTTCCAAGTCCCCTCTCCCCCAGGTGCAAAGCAGCCAAGCAGTTTTACAGAAAGCAATGTTGCAAGTTAGCTGAAGTACACAAAAATTTGATGCCCTAATATGGATTCTTTCAGTACCTCAAAAGAACACAATGCAGTGATGTCATCAAAAGGAGTTACAGAAAGAACATTGAGGCAGCAAAACATACACTGTTTCTTTGCATCTGCAGGCCAGTAATTTTGGCCTCCAGAAAGAAGATACAAAACCAAAACTGAAACCTTTCTTGGGCTACAAGCACTCGGATTTGCATCCCAAAGACTAGTCTTGCTAGAGCCTGGAATCTACATCCCAAAGATCAGTCCTGGCTAGCACCTGAGATCTGCATGTGAAAGACCAGCCAGGTTTCTGTGAGAAAAGGAAAACTGCCCCTCACAATATACTGAAATTATTTACTGAAGGCAGTTTGAAGGGGGGAAATGTTCAGCCTCATCCAAACTAGTCAGGACACATGAGAAATTTTCATGGGTCCCTATGTTCCTGCCTGTTGTGCAGTGCAGTCTACATGGGCTCATCCTGACAGCTCAGTCCAGCCCAACAGGTTGGGGTAATAATTACACATACGTGTGTCACAATCAAAGGGGTAGAGTTCTTTCCCTCGGGGAAAGTCGCTTCTAGGACAGATTCTCATTTAGCAGATGGACCCACCCTAGAACGGAATCCCCTGGGTGTGCTTCTCCTATCCTTGTCCAGCAAACAAATAAGCATACTTATTATAAATCATTTTGTATGGACAAGTAAGAAATACTTTAAGCTTATAGAATTGCTCTCCTAGGGCCATCTCGATCTCAGACTACAGTGCTCAGGCAGATAGTCTTTCCTATCCATAGCAGGGTCCTAGTCTCATCTTTTGGATCATGACAGCATTTGTCTATGATCAAACTCTTAACTTTTAATTAAGAATCATGGCATTTTGGCCTGGCCCATTTCGATGCCAGGGTAGCTCACAGCTTGTTCTGGGTCCATTCAGTCCCTCGTCGGGACCCTGCCTTTGGGGTGCTAGGAACTAAGGGCAACTGAGGCTTAAGTCGAGAAAGCAGACGCCCTGGAGTGAATAATATTCAAAGTCAATTAAATCCTAAGTTACAAAGCATAATATTAACGGTCTTCCTGTATCTATACAAAAAGGACATTGCATTAAAAAGTTGTTAGGGCGCAGATCGTGATCTCCCTTTAACAACAAAGAGACTCCAGCGACTGCAAACAGCAAGCAAGGTTTATTGTAAGACTGGCTAGCCAGGGTCAAGCCGCCTACACAGACACGCAGGTCAGTTAGGTGAGGCAAGACCCCGAACTTTTTCAAAGGGGATCTTAAATAGGCCTTCACTGGCTGTTACAGCAAAGCCCGCGCATTTCATAGCCAATAGATTTGTAACAACATATGCTTTCTTAACCAATCCATGTAGAAGTACATCACTCCTTAGCCTATAGATTCAAAGATCAGCATCTACATACATAGGCATTGTGGCTAGTGGGCATCTGGTAACTCGGACATTTGGTTATCACCTGGCTTCCTTTGATTCTCAGCCCTGCATTCGGTGGAAGTGGATAAGGGAAGAGTTCCTAAGGGAGGTAACAAATAAGGAAGGCCCAACAAATGGTTCCCGAATTTACATCCCAACAGGGAAGAGTCAACAAATGGTTTCAGAATTTACATCCCAATAAGGAAGGGCTTCACAGCTAAGGCTCTACTAGGGAAGGGGCAGGAAAGGGAGAGTTACTAAATAGTAGAGTTTTAACTCTGGAATCTCCCTCGGGGTCCCAAAGGTCCTTACAAAATAAACTATTCAAAAGACTTAAAGAGAGGAGAAAGGCAATGTTAACTTACAAGTTCAATGTCCTAGAAGATCTGACCTTACAAATCAACAGATTCTGACTAAGGAAAACTGCTGATTAACTGGTTGGGGAAGAGAGCATAGAGAAGTGCTATAGATAAAAGAAGGAATGGGAGTGACTCCGGATGTGATGGGTGTGACTCAGTGAACCTAAGCTCCTTGTGGCAAGGGAGAAAGGACAAATTAATTGTTATCCTACACTTGACCATCCAGAGAAATGCAAATCCAGACTGCTCTCCTCCCATCACGGTGGCCAATATGAAAACCACTGATTTCCTGGCCCTCGCCCATGCCCCACCTGCTGGCAGAAATGCAGAGAAATCAGACACTCATCCATCCCTAGAGAAATCAGACACTCATCCATCCCTAGTGAACACAGAACAGTAGCAGCCATCTGGAAAGAGAGAGGGCATCCGTTTCCTCCAGCACCATCCAGGCCCCTGTAGATAGCACAGCCATTGCTCGCGTGGGCGTCACTCGAGGGAAGTGAAGTCACATCTGAATATGTATTTTCACTGGTCCTCTAGTGAGAAAAGCCCTCCTGAGGGTCAGCATGCGCAAGGTTAACTGTGGTCAGCATGTGCAGGGTTAGCTGTGGTGTATGTGTGGTTAGCTGTGGTCAGCAAGTGCGGGGATAGCTGTGGTCAGTGTGTGTGTGGTTAGCTGTGGTCGGCATGTGTGTGGTTAGCTGTGGTCGGCATGTGTGTGGTTAGCTGTGGTCGGCATGTGCAGAGTTAGCTGTGGTCGGCGTGTGTGGGTGTGGTTAGCTGAAGATAGCTGTCGTTGGCATGTGTGGGGGGATAGCTGTGGTCGGCATGTGCAGGGATAGTTGTGGTTGGCGTGTGTGGGGATAGCTGTGGTTGGCATGTTCATAGCTGTGGTTGGCGTGTGCAGGGATAGCTGTGGTCAGCATGTATGTGTGGTTAGCTGTGGTCGGTGTGTGCGGGGTTAGCAGTGGTCAGCGTGTGTGTGGTTAGCTGTGGTCAGCGTGTGCGGGGCTAGTTGTGGTTGGCGTGTGCAAGGATAGTTGTGGTCAGCATGTGCGGGGATAGCTGTGGGGCCACGCACAGGGGGATGCATGGGCCAGCCAGAAGGAAGGACCTGCTGGTGTGTGCGGGTGCAGAGCTCCAGGGTAGTGTACACCGGGGAAAAGGCCAGTATGTCCCAGTTAATGAAACATCCTTAAGGCCACAAAATTCTAGAAACAACACGTTGGTAGGTGCCAGGGTCAGGGCGTAGGGAAGCAGAGGCGTCTGTGGTCATAAGAAGAGGGTGCAGGAGATCTTCATGGTGGGCCTGATCAGAACCCGATGAAAAACTCGTCCCACTGCCCCACACAGGGCACAGCCCACCGTCAGATTCACACGCACACGGCGGCAGGCAGCCCGAACAGACAGAGTGTGAGTTCCCTGGTCAGGACACTGGACGGCTATTTAGCAGGATGTTACCTCCAGGGTGCACGGCCATAGTACAGTGGGGAGGGCGTTTGCCTTGCACGTGGCAGACCCAGGTTCGATTCCCAGCATCCCATATGGTTCCCCGAGCACTGCCAGGAGTCATTCCTGAGTGCAAAGCCAGGAATAAGTCCTGAGCATCGCCAGGTGTGACCCACAAAGTTAAAGAAAAAGAAAAAAAAATGTTCACACCCCCTTCCCCCAGGGAAATAGGAAAAGATGTGAGAATACATGAGCCTTATAAAGAAAAATAGATTTCCAAGGGTTGTTGCTGTTTACATGGAATAAGTCATTGAGTGAAACGTGGAAAGATTAAGTGGTAAAGTCATTTTACACAGCACTAGAACATAGAATTTGTAGATTTTTATACCTTTAGTATAGCAGACTTTTTGAAGCCTTTTAATTGCTCTGAATGTTTTTTCTTTTTTGGTGGGCGGGCGGGGAGGCCGTTGATTTGTTTGAGGGGAGTTTGGGGTCACACTCAGCAGTGCTCAGGAGTAGTGGTGCTAGGAATTGGACCAGGGTCTGCCCCGTACTAGGCAGGCGCCTCACCCCCTGCCCTCTCTCCCTGGCCCTGGGCTCTGACCATTTATATGCTCTGATCCTCTCACTAAACTCCAGCTGAGCCAGGCCTCTGGCTTCAGGATGTTTGCCCCTGCCCACTCCCACTATGTGCATGCGCTCTGTGGCGCCCCGAGCCCCGTGGGCCCGCTGTGCTTTCCGAAGCCCCACTTCCGTTCCCGTTCCCGAGTCATGGCCTGAGTCTCTGTAGGCTGTTCCAGCAGCCTCTTCGTAGGCTCACCCAGAGGCGCCCCTCGCAGGGTGGACTCGGAGTTTTTTTTGTTGTGTTTTGTTTTTGTTGTTGTTGTTGTTTGTAGGAGTATTGCTGTTTATTAGAACTCGGAGTTTTGCTGTGTGTCCTTGCACCCTGAGTCCACAGCAATCGGGGACAAATTCTGCCCACTCCAGGTGCCCAGCTCAGTGCTTAAGTACACAGTAGGGTCTGCAGTGCATTATTCCATTTAGTTGAATTTAGTTGAATTAAAGTAAGTTCTGAAGGGAACAGTCTTGGCATTGAAATATATGTACTTTGTGTCTGGAGCACTTCTTTCTACATTATATCATTTAATCTCTCTAAAGTAACTGAAGATTCTTACCTGAATATTTAAACCTCAGTATTTAAGACTTATTTCCACTTTGGAACATGCTTATTATTATTATTATTATTATTATATTATTATTATTTCTGTCATCTCTTTAGTTCCCCACCTGAAAATTCCTGAGATTACAGGGATCCGTTTTGAGTATTAGTATTTTTGTCATTTCATTTTTGCCCTTTGGCAAATCATGTACTTGAACGTCCATTCTAGGAAAATCAATTTGTTGTTAAAATTTCTCAGTCTATGTATTAGAATTCTAAAGTTTAGCTATGATGATAGCATAAAAGTAAATTTTGCTTCTCTCTCTCTCTTCTCTCTCTCTCTCTGTAGCTTTTTGAAAGATTGCCAACTTACTTTGACCTTCAGAGGAGGCTGATGCTGCTGGAAGACCAGATCAGTCACCTTCTTGGCGGCATCCAGGTGGTTTATATCGAAGAGCTGCAGCCAGTGCTGACCCTGGAAGAGTATTACTCTCTCCTGGATGTGTTCTGTAGTCGGCTGTTGAAGAGCCGAGTCCCTTCTCATCCCCAAAGTCTGCGTGGCTTACAAATGATCCTTAACAGGTACGGTCTGAAACAAAGAGAGCGTTTCGCTGGCTCACGGGTGCCCAGGTGCATTCAACGGCTTCGTATCGTTACTAGGGTCCCTGCATCCGCTCATACACGCACGCAGCCAGCCAGCCGAGGAGGACGAGGGTCGTGCCTGTGGCACCTTGTGTGACTCTCACAGTCACAGGGCCCTTTCTTAGGTGGGTGGAGAGCATGACCTGCGCGTCCGAAGTGGTGCCCAATGTACATGGTCCCATTAACCCCTTGGTGTGGAGTGGGCCACACCCATTTTGCAGAAAAGGGAGGTCACTGGGCGTGACGGTCATGGTCTGGGGTCTCTGTGGGGTAGCAGTTAAGTGTCTGGCTCTGCTCTCACAGGGGCAGTGCATTTGTGTGGTGGGGGGAGGGGGAACGGGGGGGATTTCTAGGGACAAACCTTTCCGGTTCGTCAGACTCCTACTTCCGTCAGGGCTGCAGTGGTGGCAAGGAGTGGGGGCAAGGAGGAGGAATCAGTGATTTTTTTTCCTTCCTTGAATGTGTTACTTCATTCTAGCGACAGATATGCGCCCAGCCTGCATGAACTCGGGCATTTCAACATCCCAACCCTCTGTGACCCGGCAAACCTCCGGTGGTTTATTCTCACCAAAGCCCAACAGGCAAGAGAGAACTTGAAAAGAAAAGAAGAGTGAGTGTTGTCAGCCCCCTGTCGTTTCAGTGTAACAAAAATCCAGGGATTCGGAACTCACCTGTAGGACATCCAAACTGTCTTAGAATTAGAAGCCAGAGCGATAATCCAGTGGGTAGGACGCATGCCTCGCATGCAGCCTCCCCGGGTTGGATCTCCGCTGCTACATATGATCCCCGAAGCAGAGCCAGCAGTAAGCCCTGAGCACCGGCGGGGTGTGACCCAAAAACAAACAAACGTGTAAAACTACATTGGAATTAGAAGCTTGTCTCTCTGGCTGTTTCATACTATTTGTGCTCCACCATATTCGGCCAGGGATTGAATGGGACTGTTTTCTACCACATATGATAACCTAGATTACATGACAACCGTGTGCCCCAATTTTAGAAACTGGGTTTATTCATATAAAAGTCATCTCGGGGCTGGAGCAATAGCACAGCAGGTAGGGTGTTTGCGTTGCACGCGGCCGACCTGGGTTCGATTCCTAGCATCCCATATGGTCCCCCGAGCACCGCCAGGAGTCATTCCTGAGTGCAGAGCCAGGAGTAACCCCTGAGCATCGCCGGGTGTGACCCAAAAAGCAAAAAAAAAAAAAGGAGTATCAGAAAGAAATTCTCCAGATGGAAAAAGGTAGCAACAAGGAAGAAGAATCCATTTAGAGTCAGGGAGCTAGTACAGCAGGTCAGGCACTTGCCTGGCATATGGCCGACCCAGGTAGAATCCCCAGCACCTTGTCATATGGACATATCATATGGTCCCCAAGACCTACCAGGAGTGAGAGCAATCCTGAGCACAGAATCAGGAGTCAGCCCTGAGTGCTGCCAGTAACCACAAATAAAATAAGGCAACCATTTAAATTAAATGAGAAGACATTTTTAAGTGAGGATAAGAGATGATGATTAAGTTCAGTTCATAAGCATCACTGTGTCTGTGTGATTTACATCTTTGTTTTTTTTCTTTTAATTTTTGGACCCCAAAATTTGGAGGATAGCTGTTTACTAGAATAGCTATCCCCAAAAATTTGCTCCCAGTGGGCAAAAAAGCATTAAGGACACCACTTTCTGCCCTGTCTGCGTTATCAAAACTGATGTGAGACCAGTCAGGGCAGCCCTCAGCAGAGGGAGCTGGAGAGAGATTGAGCATGAGGAGACTGCCCAATGCCGCCTATACTTACTGATTTGGTGGTGCTGAATTTTTTGTTGTTGTTGTTTGTTTGGGGGGGTTGGGTCACTCTTAGCAGTACTCAGGACCACTCTTGGCTCTGCACCCAGGGATCACTCCCCACAGGGTTTGGAGATCATAAGTGCTACTGAGGATGGACCCTGGGTCAGGTACGTGCAAGGCAAGTACTCTGACCACTATGCTGTCGCTCCACCCTTGGGATCTTTAGAAAGCATCACTTCCAGGCCCAAACCATAGGGAGCCCCAGGGGCCGGAGCGATAGTACAGTGGGTAGGATGCTTGCCTGCACGCAGCCAGCCTGGGTTTGATCCTCAGCACCCCATATGAGCTCACCAGGAGTTACTCCGGAGCACAGAGCCAGGAGTAAGTCCTGAGCAACACTGGGTGTGCCCCCAGAACAAAACCAGAGGGAGCCCCTAAAGTGAATTACAGGCCCCTCATCACAGCCAAACAGATTTGACAAAGACTTGTGAAGATGCCTGTGGCAATGACTCCCAGAACGACAGGGCTATTGGCGTGCACATACATATCTAAGCATGCAGTCTGGCCTTTGTGGAGTCCATGTTCAGAGGACATTTAGCCCCGAATAGATTAAACAATAGACCTCCATTGTTTGTTGTTTCATTTGGTTATAGCTCGTGGCAATATCCTGTTTGTTTTGCATGTGACAGGTTAAAGATTATGGAAAATGAATTGATGCAGGCTTCCACAAAGAAATTTTCTCTGGAAAAGTTCTATAAGGAGCCCAGCGTTTCTAGTAAACAAATGGTGGACTGTTGCAAGAGACTTCTAGAGCAGTCACTGCCTTATCTACAAGGGATGCACCTCTGCGTGTCACATTTCTACTCAGTGATGCAAGACGGAGACCTCTGTATCCCCTGGAATTGGAAGAACGGAGAAGCCATTAAGTAACCCAGAAATCGGTATTATTTTTTAACCAGAGAAGGAACTGTTAAGCTTATTTAAATCCGGGATTTGAGATAACAGTATTATTTTACATGTTTCAAGAACAGAGTTTCTAACTGCTGCTTTGAAGGTAACAATTTTTTTATTATTAATTTCTGCTATGAAAGTGGTTTTAAAAGGGTATGCTCCCGATTGGAACACCAGATTGGCAAAACTAGGTAAATTGGATGTTAGTGTGAATGAGAGATTCTCCAGAGCTCTATTTTTATAGAATGAGTGATGGCCACTACACAGGTCTCAGCCCGTATATCTCAGATGCCACGGGACTCATCTCCATGGCTGACATGCGAGGCCACACAGTTTTCTCAATGCATCTGGTGTATCTGGACACGTGAATATTTTGCAGCCAGGCAGGACAGATTTAATGTTCCTAACAGATGACTGGTGACTAGCAACGTTTAGGTGACCAAATTTTGCCTAAAGGAGAGGCTGTCTAAGGAACAAAGGGATAGGTTGAGTATCTGGTCTGGACATTATCACTAGCAGTCCGATTCCTGTTGTTCAACATCTTCAGTGACACAGAAGCTAGTCTTAAACCCCGAAGTTTTCCCACCCATTCAGTCTGTTGGTAGCATGAAGTCAACAGAGAGCTTTTGAACTGAAATCCAAATAGGACTTTGAAGTCATTAGATGGGGTGAGTCATTTCTTTTCATTAGTAAGCACGACCCAGGAAAATCGTGGCTTGTTCTCCAAGGGTCTTGGCAAACAAGGCCCCGTGACCATGGCTGCACTCATGCCATCTCTGGCTCGTCTCAGACCCTGTCCTGCCACAGGGACTGGCCAGTGCCTCAGCATGACCCCTGCTCCAGAGCTGTGGGCACCCCCATGGCCACAGCACAGACTCCCTGGACAGAGTCTTCAGGTCATAGTCTACACTGGACCAAACCGTGTCTGCCCCTTGTCAGGAGGGAAGGAGAATACCAGGTTGGGACGCTATTTTTTGACACTGCAAACGAAATGAGAAAGGAGTTTTTCCCACAGCTCGTTCGACAGGAAAAGAGATGTTAAAAACGTTTCTTGAAGTATGTTTTAAGTTGACACTGATTCTTTAAAATTTCCAAACGTGTTCAAAAGTATTAATTTCTAAGTCTCCTTTACAAATTTCATCCCTTTTAATCTCTGCCTGACAACTGTACTGAAAACATTTTTTTCTAATGTAGCAAATGGTGTTGTCTATAAAGATTTTTCCAGAGCCAAAGGATTGGGTTTAAACAATTCCATAAAGGCCATATAAGAAAATATAATTGGAAAAATAACGTTGGATTATGCCATTTCTCGTATCTACTAATGTGGAATTCTCAGTAGTATTTTTTGAAGTGAACTTTGTCTCAGAGCTATTTGTTACATAATGAATTATATAATAATCAGATTACTGTTTGTCTTGTTATTATTAACAGTTTACAACTATTACAGTACAATAGGAAATTATAAGAAATTGGTGTCCTGAGGTCAGAGTGATAGTACAGCAGGTAAGGTGTACTTACCTTGCACGGGGCTGATCAGGATTTGATCCCCACCATCCCGTCTGATCCCCCAAGCCCACCAGGAGAGATTCCTGAGTGCAAAGCCAGGAGTAAGCCCTGAGCACCACCAGGTATGACAGAAAAAATGCAATAACAAAGCAAGAAAATGGAGCCCTGTTTGATCTCTCTTCCAACCTAACATAGAAAGGGAAATTCTGTTCCATCTCTGAAAACCAGCTGCAGGTCCCATGACAAAGCCGTCAGCTCCAAAGAGACCCGAGCTCCACAGCCAGGCCGAACCCCCAAGGCAAAACCAGCCAGCATTCACTGGCTGGCCCACAGGCCTGGCAAAGCCTCTGCCTCCAGGAGCTAGTGAGAGGGAGGAGGAGGAGGAGGAGAGCTGGCCGGATCGGGGCCTCCCCTGAGGCAGCTCCACTCAGGAATTGCTGAACCTGTGCAGATCCCAGCTCACCGTCCCTGCATCTCAGTGGCTGCTTTGTACTGAGCCTCTCCCCCAGGCTGCCCCCACAGGCCCAGTGACCCCGAAGCCGGCCAGGCAGACATGGGAGACTAATGGGCGTATGGTCTCAGCATGTCCACCTCAGGCTCCAGAGCTGGGAGTTTTGGGGCACTGACCCCCAGAACCAGGCTGGAGGAGGCATGGGTCACTGGGGAGTCCCAGCAGCTTGCTGACCACAACTGCTTGCCTGCAGTCCACCTCAGGTCCTCTAGCGTAATGGGGCGATTTTAAGAGCCTGGAGAGACCCTTGTCCCCCACCCGGCGACGCTGCTACCAGAAACCAGTTCTACTGTTTGCTCAAGACCCTTTCCCAGTGCAGGATTGTTCATTAGGGAGCATTTTAGGGATTTCCCCCATCACCACCACAAGCTGACAGTGTTGTATATGGGGCAGAGATGTCCAAGAGCCTGGTGCCAGGTGCAGGCATGGGAAGTGGGATTCTCGCCTCCATGCCCCTGCCACTCAGGTGCTCCAAGCTCTAAGATCAGGTAGATGCTCATCAATGCCAAAGTAGGTGGGTCTAGGTGAGTCCTGACCAGTGAGACCCTTGGACCAGTACTGCCCCCTGGTGGAGACAGGGGTCTGGCATAGCAGAGACAGGCCACCATGGCGCGAATAGGCCAGCAGGTGGCAGCACTGGCTTCTCTGGGGTTGCTCTATCAACTGCGGAGTATTCATGCTCTCAGTGATAAGGGAGGACAGTGAGGCCGGTCCTCGTCCCACCACACTCCAAGTCGGACTGTCTGTTCATTCAACCCTTCACCCTCCACTGTGCCCCTCCCGGGCTTTCCCAGGGAGGCCTGGCTGCAAACCCCCTGCTAAGGCAGGCACTCAATCTGGCCAGGATAAGAGCTCACCAATGAAGTTCAGGTGAAGTTCATCAAATCTGAGGCAGCCCATCCAAGACCCGGCAGGGGGTCAGGGTCTCCAAGGCGGGCAGCTTGGGAAAAACCCTGTAAGTCCAGCAACGAAGGGTGTCTGGGGCACACACCCTCTGTCCTGGCCTTGGCTGCCCACACTGGTCCCTTCTGGGTGTTCCCCATCTCTCTCCAGGGCATCCTCCATTCCTGGGAGTCTGCATCCCAGCCTGGGGCTTGTAGTTCCTCTAAACTTCCTTTCCCTCGAGGGTCCCCCACCCCCTCATTTTTCTCCCCACACCCCTGCCTCGTGTTTCCGAGACTGAATGTCTTTGCTTCCCTGTCTGTCTGCTGAGATTCTTTCCCGCAAGAATCCACGGGCCAGGTGAGGATGTGACTCCCATGTCGCATGTCCAGCGCAGGAGCTGGCGCTGGCATCTTCACATTGCCCACGGGGGCCGCTCCCGCCGGAGGGTGGAAGAACACCGGCCCCTCTGTGGGTGGGGGCCCCTCACCTCCCCCAACTGCCCGAAGTAGGCACCACAGAGAGTCAGAATCCCTTTCCCGTCATTCTCCTACCTGGTTAATAACTTTTGCATTCGACTTTCCGTGTTCATTTCCCCCCTTGGTGCAGAGGGCAGGGCGCCACCTGGCAGAGCTCAGTGGTGCTTGACCGGGCGGGGTACCGGGAGCAAACCTGGGGGGCCCTGTACTCCAGACCTTTGACCCCTCTCCCCAGCCCAAACCTCCCAGTTTAAGTGTTTCTTCACCTTCTCCTGTTTTCTTGTTCACTTCTGTGTCTTCCCGACACTTTCTCTGTGCCCCACACCCTGCTTAATGCCTTTAAGCTTCTACAATAGTGTTACAACTTCTTGTTGAAAATCTCTGCACCCCACTGCTACCAGTTTCTCCCACGGGACCCTGACTAGCCTTCCACAAGCGGAGGGTCGCTGCAGCTGGCCTGCCGTGTGGTCTGGTGGCAGGGACGATCTAGGATTCCACTGGCAGGGAAGGACACTCTGGGCAGTTCCTGCCATGTTTGTGGACTCAGCCCCCGAGGATTGTGGGACCTGGGAGGGTCCCGGCTCTATTCCTGTTTTGGTTCTCACCCCACCCAGAATTGGAGCATTGGGGCACAACTGTCTTCTCAGGCTGGGGGACAGCCTAACCCACCCTGTGCTCTGTGGCCCCCAGACGGACCTGTGTGGCTTGGGGCCACCTCTCACGCGGGCTCCTTGTCCTGCCCAGCCCAGCTGGAAGTGAACCCAGGAAGTGGTGTCTTCCCTCCCTCAGGGACACTGGCCCAGGCACCAGGCCACAGGTAGCTGTCCCCAACAAGGGGTGGCCCTGGGTCATGGGGAAAGAGTAGCGTACAAGTGAGGGTCCCTCCCAGGGGACAGGGAGGAGGAGACACCCGTTTTCCTCTAAGGTGAGGCCACAGGTAGAGCAGAGGGGCTCATGGGAGAAGCCGAGAGGCAACTTGAAGACAGGCATCTCTGGGTTGGGGGTGGGGGAGGAGAGCCCCAGGCCCTTTTCTCCTCACTTCTCGCTGCGCTAGCCCCAGTCTGGGACTCAGGCCCTGGCCCCTGCATCAGCCCATAGTGGGCACTTTTCATTCATGACTCTGGGCAGGGTGGGGATGGCACTGAGCCCTGTGCACACAGGGCGGAGGGGAAGGTCAGCTCCGGGACGGCCGTGACTGCGTGTCCACATCAGCCGGGCAGGGAGTCCCCAGGTGCTGGGGGATGGGCCCATCCTTGCCTCCCATGTACCTGCCGGGATGAAGTGTGGCGCTGTCCCAACCTGTCCTGCAGTGCCCACAGAGTCCCCACAGCCCAGGGCTGGCCTCCCTCTCTCCCAGGCCTCTGGGCGGGGCCCAGAACCACCCCCACCCCCCCACCCCGCCCCCAGAGACGACTTCCATAGGAGGGGAAGGGAAGTAGCCCTAGGAGCCGAGGAGGGGCCCGGGGACTGAGCCTAGCCCGCTCACGGGGGGTGGGGGGTGAGGGGTGTGTTCCCTCCTGGCTCTAGGACTAAGGCTTGGGAGCTCAAGAAAGTTGTAGAAAACGTTACGTTCCAGCAATGAAGTTCAATGGGTATTGGCGAGGTTCTCCGGGCGCCCGTGCGTTTCTGGGGGTGCACGGAGGCCAGCCCGGGCTTGCTGGACTGCACGGGGTCTCGGGGGCCGGACCAGCTCGGGAAGGGGCTGTGATGGCGCGGGCCCCCGCGGACCCCCGCGGTTCAGAAGGAAAAGCGGTGGCCACCGGTGAGGACTTGCCGCAGCTTGCAGGGGAGCGCGCGGCGCGGGCCGCACGCGGCAGCGGGGCCCAGAGGCCAGGGCGGCGGCGGGCTGCGCGCGTCCCCGGGGCCCGCGTCCCTGCGCACCCCCGCGGGAGGCCCCTGCTCGCCCACACGCTCCGGGGACGGGGACGCGGCCCGCGGCGGTGGGTGGGTAATCTCGCCCGTGATCTCGTTCAGCCAGAAAAACGCGTCGAGGGCTTTCTTCCCGTGTCCGGTGTGGCCCCTGGACATGGCTACGAGAGAGCAGACACACGGCAGGGGTGAGGCTTCGCAAAGGCTGTGCGCAACGGGAAAGGGGCGCCCGGGACAGGGATCTCAGGACCCGGGAGCGCAGGATAGGGGGTGCTCAGGCCAGGGGCCTGGATGGGGGGCCCAGGGCAGGGGGCACTCAGGACTGGGCAGGGTGCGCCCAGGGCAGGGACACTCAGGGCTAGGGTTTGCCCAGGGCAGAGGTCACTCAGGACGGGGGTCAAGATGCGTCCAGGGCAAGGGACAGTGAGGAGTGGGGGTGCCCAGGCCAGAGGGCACTCAAAACAGGGGCCAGGAGGTGCCCAGGACAGGAGGTGCTAGGGATAGGGAAGTCCAGGGCAGGAGGCGCCCAGGGCAAAGGCCTCTCAGGACAAGGGCATCCAGGAGCGGGGGCTCTCAAGACAGAAGGTGCTAAGGAAAGGAGTCAATCAGGAGTGGAGGACGAATTGGCGCCTGACCGACACATCCGCCTGTCCGAGGATAAGCGGGACCAATGCTCCCAGGACCTCCACACCACCCCCAGGGCCTCACAGGGTGCTCCAAATAAATTCTAGAGTCATTTTTCCCCCATATTATGTTCAAAGCTGTAAATCTTAACCAAGTATGCCAAATAAGTGTACTTTATGTTCTGATCTGGGGTGTGTGTGTGTGTGTGTGTGTGTGTGTGTGTGTGTGTGTGTAGGAGACCAATTTCCCAGGGTTGACTTTGTTGTGAGCAATGGTTCCTTGAGCTTAGCTTTTCTTTGTGATTTAACTCATTTATGTGCTGAGGGCTTCCTCTTGGCTCTGTGCTCAGGGAGCACTCCTGGCGGGGCTTGGGAGACCATAGGGGTTGCTGTGGCGTGCAGTGTAAGCGCTCTCCCTGCTGTATTGTCACTCCAGCCTCAGCTTTACTATATTTGACTATAATCATTAGATGTGTGTAACCAAAAAGGCCAAAATGATAAATGACTAGTCATCATTTGAAAAACAAATTAGG